AGGTAAAATAATTTTCATTTCTGTCAAATCATAAAACATTTACACTGAAGAAAGAACGTGCTATCCTTAGGCGAACACGGTTCACATATGTCAAGTGTCAAGCGCCATTTTTTGTAAGTGCGGTAGCTAGACATGCGACGTTGCCGGATCCTCACATAAATCGGAGTTTGTCATACAATTTTATAGAGGGCATTAATGCTATATCCAAGATTTTATAATGCCATTGTGTGTTATTTATGGTGACACATGCGACGTTGCCGGCTCCTCGCATAAATCTGAGTTTGTCATACAATTTTATAGAGGGCATTAATGCTATATCGAAGATTTTATAATGCCATTGTGTGTTATTTATGGTGACACATGCGACGTTGCCGGCTCCTCACATAAATCTGAGTTTGTCATACAATTTTATAGAGGGCATTAATGCTATATCGAAGATTTTATAAGGCCATTGTGTGCTATTAATGGTGACACATGCGACATTGAAAAATGAAAAATGAATGAATAATGAAAAATGCAAAATGAAAAATGAAAAATGAAATATGAAGAATGAAAAATGAAAAACGAAAAACGAAAAAACCAAAAACGAAAAACGAAAAACGAAAACCGGACAACGGAAAACGGACAACGGAAAACGGAAAACGAAAAATGAAAACTTATAAAAGATGACAGGTACCAGATACCAGATACCAGATACCAGAAACCAGATACCAGATACCAGATACCAGATACCAGACACCAGACACCGGATACCAGATACCAGACACCAGACACCAGACACCAGATACCAGACACCAGATACCAGATACCAGATACCAGATACCAGAAACCAGATACCAGATCCACATACCAGATACTAGATACCTGATACTAGACACCGGATACCAGATACCAGAAACCAGATACCAGATCCACATACCAGATACCAGACACCAGACACCCGATACCAGATACCAGATACTAGATACCAGACCACCAGATACCAGACACCAGATAGCAGATACCAGAAACGAGATACCAGATACCAGACACCAGATACCAGATAAAAAGATAACAGATACCAAATACCAATTACCAGATACCACACACCAGACACCAGATACCAGACACCACATACGAGATACCAAATACCAGATACCAGACACCAGATACCAGATACCAGACACCAGATACCAGATACCAGACACCAGATATCAGATACCAGATACTAGATACCAGATACCAGATACCAGATCCACATACCAGATACCAGATACCAGCCACCAGACACCAGATACCAGATACTAGATACCAGACACCAGATACCAAAACACCAGGCACCAGATTACCAGATACCAGACACCAGACACCAGATACCAGACACCAGATAGCAGATACCAGAAACGAGATACCAGATACCAGATACCAGATAAAGAGATACCAAATACCAAATACCAGATACCAGACACCAGACACCAGATACCAGACACCACATACGAGATACCAGATACCAGATACCAGACACCAGATACCAGATACCAGATACCAGATACCAGATACCAGACACCAGACACCAGATACCAGATACCAGATACCAGAAACCCAGACACCGGATACCAGACACCAGATATCAGATACCAAATACCAAGTACCAGATACCAGATACCTGATACCTGATACCAGACACCAGACACCAGATACCAGACACCAGACAACAGACACCAGACACCAGATACCACACACCAGATACCAGATACCAGACACCAGATATCAGATACCAGACACCAGATACGAGATAAAGAGATAACATACCAAATACCAGATTCCAGATACAGATACCAGACACCAGACACCAGATACCAGATACCAGATACCAGACACCAGACACCAGATACCAGACATCAGATACCAGATACCAGACACCGGATACCAGTTACCAGACACCAGATACCAAATACCAGATACCAGATACCAGATACCAGATAAAGAGATAACAGATACCAAATACCAGATACCAGATACCAGATACCAGACATCAGATACCAGACACCGGATACCAGATACCAGACACCAGATACCAAATACCAGATACCAGATACCTGATACCAGATACCAGATACCAGATCAAAGATGCCAAAGGATAAAAAATGATTAGAGATAGGGATAAAGTTATCGCTAGCATTGCATTAGCATACCAGCAACTGCGCTACGTGAGGTTTTAAATAAAGACATCAGCGTGCAATATTTTGCATAGCGTTAGCGTGCCAGCAACTGCGCTAGTTGCAATAATAAGTGTTGATTATCTGTAGCCGGATTTTTTTCAATGCAGTAATTTGGAAACATTCATTTTAGCTGCCTTCAATGTGATAAAGTCGTGCCTTCCCGCTAAGGCTGTGGAAAAAATTAAATTTATAAGTAGAGAAAATATATCAACGTACGTGCCTCTGAAACATGCCCTAACCTGCTGGGGCGGAAATAACAGATACGAATTCAAATTCGAATCTGAATATTTTCCAGAGCCGGTAGGGTAAGAAAACGGTGATGCTGCCGGTAAGTTGATTTGATCATTTTTAACACGTAACACCGCACACTAGGTACAAGGTTGTTCTTAGAATTCAAACGGTCATATTAAAATTAAATTCTTCTTGTCACCTTTCCAATATTAGAAAAGAGTTATTCAGACGATTCTGGGTTTGGATGTTCCGATATTTTGCTAAAAAATACTGTACCTTTCCGGTAAAATTTCTAACAGATGTCCGGTATTTTGTCGATAAGAAACCGAATTAAGGGCAAATATTTATTATTCAATCTCCATTCAAAATGTAACAATCGATTACATTTTTTCGGCTACAATTTCAAAACTGGCGTCATGCCAAGCTGAACTCCACAGAAGCACCAAGGTGAGTTTTATCTGTATGTTAATCGGAGCATTTTATAATAAGGTTTTCCAATACGTCTTGTACCTCCCATACAGCACAGTGTTTTTCGGAAACATTTCAAAAATCTTACCTTGTATGTAATGTTTTAAAATCCTTACAAGATATTTCTCCAGTTAAGTGGAAGACTTGTCTTTGGGGACAAATTATGCAAGGTGTACTCTTTTAACTGGCAAGCCAAACTTTCGACAGTCTATTTTAAATTTGTTATATACCTTTCTCCGCATGATCCTTTTCTTTCTTTGTATACATAGGTATATATTTGTTCTTCAGTTGACTCAATACTACCAGCTGGCGACGATCTTCCTGGTGCTGATGCTCGGCATCGTGTTGGGGTACGTCCTGCGTCCGTAGCAATAACGGAGACTCGCGGGGCCCCCGGCGGCAAAAGGAACGTCACCGGAAAGCAGCGCCGTTTTCGTGCCGAACGACGACAGGCTCTCGTTCAGGATATACCGCAGGATGGTCTATCAGATCGTTTACGCTGAGAATGGGTATTGAACGTTATTGCCTCCTGCCTGTAACTTGATTTTTTTATATTTTTCTGACAACTATTATGACTTGGCATTCTTAAAATATCAATAATACAAGTAAACAACACAGTATTACATCCATTCCATTGATAAGCGATTACTTAATGTTTAGAGATAAGGAAACTATATACAAATAAGAAGATGAAAATTGTCACCTGAAAGATGTCAACATGCATTTTAGTCTACAATGATGAGTTAATTAAACCACTCGCATAAAAAATGTTTGAAATATGCGTCAAGAAAATGTAATCGATTGTTACATTTTGAATTTTTAACAAATGTTTTGTTACGATTATTTGAGTTTATATATACATGTATCTTAATCTTTTTTTGTATACCATGCACAAATCTTGCACAGAGCAATTTAGTTTTTACGAAATTGAAAAAAATGTGTTCAACGAAACTGAATTTTCAAAAGTTGCCAAAGTGTCAAGTATTAAGTTTAGAAAAACTTTTTTTATATATGATTTGTATTTGATTTATCGTTCAAACTAAACATTGACCTAATGGAAAAATTCCGGTTAGAATTTAAAAATATACAGGGTGTTACTTGATAATAGGACCCAATTAGAAGCGCGCATTTTGGAACCAAATTTAAGTAGGTAAGTTTATATGAACATTTGGCGTAAACAGTTTTGAAAAAATAAAAAAAATAATTTTGGAATTTAAAAAAATATTGGAGTCAAAAATTTTGTAAATAATTAAAAATTCAGAAATTTGGAATATAATTTGATTTGTAATTTTTGAAAAAGACTTTGGAAATTTAGAAATTTTAAAAAATATACGAAAAAAATCTCAACTCTTTTTTGTAAGAAAATTTTTTGAAACGGGTCAACAGGCGATTGCAATACAATAATGATCTTAGATAAAATTCGAGTTTGAATTTTTTTAAATTGAATTTTGAAAAAAAATTACAAAAAATCGAAGCTCTTGATTATAAATAAAATTTTGCGTAGGACTCAATGGACGATGACAATACGATAATTTAGGAAAAATAGAATTTGAGAATTTTTGAAAAATATTTGAATTCTGAAATTTGGAAGATAATTTGAAGATTTTGAAAAAAATACAAATTTTGGAAAAATTTAGATTTATTATCAAATATGATATATACCAAGATTGTAATGTAAATATTAATATATTAGTTAAAACATTCAATGATAATTAAAACCATCGGATCGGATTCAATTTGCTATAAAAGCGTTGTTTTTTTTAATCTACAATTTATTTTCTTGATTGTTAGTCTCAAAAGGATAACAAAAGTACTTAATCAAGAGCTTGGATTTTTGGTATATTTCATGTTTGACAATAAATCTAATTCACTTTCAGGTTGTCGAAATTTCCAATTTTTTTTTCAAAATCCTACAAATACTCAAATTCTCCGAATTTTCCAAAATTATTGTGTTTTCATCAGCATTTGCTCTGTGCAAATTTTCAAGTCAATCAGTTTTCTCAAAGTCGTTGAAAATTGATATGATTCAAGTTGAAAACCACAGTTTGTAGGACATATATTTATATGAACTTTTCTACTTAAATCACCAAGTAACACCTTATACATATATGCCCAAGTCATGACTTCTATAATTAAACTAAAAATATCAAAACCTGGCTGGGCGGTAACAGTTCCTACACATTTCAATAAACAAAATGAATCGTTAAAACTTTTACTTGAACTGTTACATTTTTTCTAAACCTCAATTTTTTTCCAATATTTGATCATCTTCAACGATAGTTTTATTGAGATTTTCTGAATGGAACACATTTAGATAACGTTTTTGTTTGAACCGTACTTTAAAATACTCCTTGCCACATGAATTGATATTGTTATGTATGTTCCTTGATTTATTCTACGTCTCTTAGTGTTCCAACATATTTTCATCGAAACACTTTTATTTTGGAAATTTTACACCCTGTATCTTGAGGTCGATAACCATCTTAGCCTTGTATTTCTCCGAAACGTTGTCATATATATAATCGGTTGCTGTTTTTAAACTTCTCCTGTATATACACGGCGTTTTCTTGCCAAGTTGTTTACACTCTCTAGGTCTTTATTTTTTGTGTACAGGTTACTTTAAGAAAACGGTTAAATTTGTTACTGTTTAATCGACGAATAACTGTGATATAGCGATGTGATGATAGTTTAGGGCCTAATTTATATATGATATGTTTTCGTTATTAAAAATGCTCTTGCAAGATTCAGTGTTTTCTATTTCCTTCCTGCGTCGCCAAAAAAATAGAACGTTGCTGTTTCGCCTGCAAATGCATAAACAAAATAGAGGAAGGGTTCCAAGACGGAGCCTTGAAAAATGCGTTTTTTTTTCTCTCGCATATTTGAAGACGGTATCAGGTAGGTGCCTCTGTATCTCACCTGCAATTGAAAAACTTTGCTATCCATGAGATGAAAAAAACAGGATGTCAACCCTAACACACAAGTAGATGCGTATGCAAGGCTCACCTAGTTAGCTACACAGATATCTTGTTTCCCTCAGAAGAGTCGGAAGTAGACCTAATTTCCACTTTGGAGACATTTGACACCCACGTCACAACACTAAAACACCAGTGAGAGACAATCAAGAACCCTATAGTGAACACCACTACTGAAGAAAAGTAGCTAAACCGAATAGAGCTCTGGACGGAGCTGTGAACACGTAGACATTCCGCCGCGGCGACGGTTGCCGAGAGACTGTAAAATTCAAAATTGTGCGTTAAGACGCGCGTCAAGACGAGGGAAACCACAGGATACGTTTCGGATGCAACATTAACACAAAAACTGATGCCACGACTTGACTTGTGTTTGAATGTTTATGGTGAAAAATGAAAAAATGTTCATATTTTAGTTTGTGATACAATTTACATTCATAACCACAACATACGTTAATTGGAGTAGATTGGTCAAGTAGTTTTTGAGAATTTCTAATTGTTTATGCCAAAACACCTGTTTTCCGGCAATCACTACTATATAGTTTATTGAGCAATATAAAGAGTTAGTTCAAAGGTATTTTATAGCAAAATACCCTAGTTTACCCTGCCGATATGAATCGCAAACCATTCTGGAAGATAAATGTTATTTTTATGCAAAACAGGGTGGGTTAAGTTTTTTCTTCTAACCAAATTCAACCACTTCGTATTTGTGAGTAACTCGCAAAAAAGATGATAAGCACATCCGCTTTGTTTTAAAATGTGTATAGTAACGTAGGTTTTTCGAATATCGTAGCGCATTTGTTCAATTGCTCACAAATGCGAAATGTTTCAATTTGTTTTTCGCTTAAAAATAGCATTTATCTTTAGGAATGGTTTGTGATTCCTATCGGCAAGGTATACACGTGTATTTTGCTATTAAATGCTCAATAAACAATGAAATAGTGATGGCCGGAAATCCGCTGTTTTGGGATAAGCAATTAGACAATTCTCAAAAAACTACTTAACCAATATATCTACTCCAATTTTGTTGTTATTTAGAATTATGAATCCTACCGATTTGAAGAATTTCAAGCAGTTGCGTGAAATTATCGTCGCATTACCAAGTGCCAAAACCTGCATTTGCCTGGTTTTTCGGCCATAACATTTTTGCTATTAATCGGATCTTTTTATGAGTGGTGTTATTTTGTAGGTCTTATAAATACCTAAAAATCTTATATTAAAAGTGTTTACCATCCACTTTCGATTGAATAAAAAAGACGTTTTCTCACTCTTTGTTGTCAAATAAGTTTTCAAACAAAAATTGGTGTACTCATTTCATGGGTCCCCTTTGAACAACTTGCACCCTTTAAAACCAGACTTTACAATTATTTCGGGGAAATTTGCTAATATGATTAGACTATAGGTCTAAATGTTGATGATTGGACATAAAATTAAAGCTTTCAAATTTTAAAACTGCTCGGTTTTGATGTTATATGATTTGTCATAACTTATATTCGCACTAAATGCTTCAATGGAGTTACTATTTTGAAAATAAAAAAAAATAAAAAATATTTTCATTATCAAAATAATAAAACAGAGTTATGCATCCTTTTTTAAAAATAATCTAACTACGCCCTTGAACCAGAATATCAATGCAAGTTAGTAACCTGTAAATATGTTTAAAAAGCAGGTACGGTTCACTTATTCACTCATAGATAGCAGCACCCGCTATTGATGAGTGTTGCCAGATTTTTATAGTATCAAAACCTGCTTCATAACTCCCAAGCTTTACCTGTGATATTTGTGTCAAATCAAACACCTGTGGTAGTGAATACAATTCGCAATGAAGTATTTATGGAAAATAAAAAATACGCACAAGTTTTATAATGTCAAATCACATTACGTGAGACAAATGCGTTTCTAAAATCAGAGACCTGCTGTTCAAATAACAAATCTGGCAGCACGGAAGGTACCATCTATGAGTGAATTGTTGAGCTAAAAAGAGTTCTGCTTATTTATGATACCTGCTATTTTGACCATTACAGGTAACTACTAAAATTTACAGCTCATAGGTCATAGGCGTAATAATGCAGTTTATTTTCAGAAACGAGCCGTTGTAGGAGAGTGTTTGAGATTATAGAATATAAACATTGCTCCCGAATTTAACAGGTTAAATGGTGTAGGTGTTTATGATAGAAGAACTGCTTAACATCTTCAAATAAATTTTATTTCATCAAGTTTTCCAGCGGTTAGACAATTACCATTTATTTTTTACAGTGATATAGAACAACAACGTGCCCGTGCGTGTCCATTTCAGAAAATTGATTTATTTCGTTTATTAATCTCGTGAGGTAAGAGTGAAATTGTAACGGCAAATTCAAAATGACACTAGTGACAAAAAAGTAGTGGTGAGTGGTGTGTAGTTCGCGAATGTACTAGTTCAGTCCAACAATTGTTATGAACTAAGTGAACTAGTTCATCATTCCACGAAAATCTCTATTCACTTCGAACGACTGATGACTTGACTTGATGATGCCGCAGGGGTATTATAGAAAAAAACTTGAAAAACGACAAAATGTCATCTTGCAAATTAAAGGTAGTTTTTAGTGAAATAGTTCGTTCCACGTGTGCTCGGTATAGTCTCTGTAGGCGTCATCAAAAGCGTTCATCTATGGAAGAATGATTCAACGACATGCCACGCTCATACATGCATTACTGGTTGCAGAAAACCAAGTAGTGTTCATGAGGTACATACATATAGAACAGGAGGAGGAGGAAGCGATCAGCATCGACCAGGAGCTGTTCAACGATTACAGATTCTCTGTGGATCAGCTCATTGAACTGGCCGGGCTTAGCTGTGCTACAGCCATTGCAAAGACGTACTCAATGGAGAAAGTTGGAAACAAATCTATATTAGGTATACCTTCAATGCTATTTTGGTAATTTTCTAGCTTAGCTACACCAGCATTTTTTATTTCTTCATCTGAATAGGCACTAGGTTTGGTTTGGAAAATATGGGTTAGCTGCAGAATAATAACGGTAATTCTCTAGCAACTAGCTACAACCATTTTTGATAACAAAATAATTTTGGAGCCATTTCTCTCATCTACACACCCAAAAACAGTTGCAGCTTACCATTATTTTTTATTAGAAGATACATTTTTATATTTAGGTTCTAATACAAAAATGATATACATTGAAATCTCCTTTGTACAGACACCAAATACAACAAAAATTGTGTTCTAATGAAAACTGAAATTAAGAAACTGGGACATTCAAAACGTAGATGTATATAAATGCCTTTAAAATAAACAAAAAATTTTAAACATTAGAAAAAAATGGTTTGACACCTTTAGATACCTATATACAAAGTATGTACAGTAATGGACAAAAGTATAAAGACAAATACGAATATTTACCTAAATACCTTTAGAAAACGAATACATGCTTCAATGCGTTATTAGTAGAAAAACTGAATTCCTTGTTTTTACATTATCTGCAATGAACACAATACAAATCTGAATATAAGCACTTTTTTATGAGCTACAAAAATATGTAGACAAATTCTTTTCAACATTAGTTTCGTACAGTTTCATGTCACAAGAGGAATAGTTTGTGTTCACCAAGTATTCTGGAATAAGTTGAGTGATTTTAAGACCATGTCGCGTGGTCCAGAAATTTCTTTCGATGTGAAAACTAAAATCATTGAGTTATACAAAGATGGTCAATGTCAAGTCGACATTGCCAAAAATTTGAAGCTGAAGCGTAAGCAGTTTGGGCAATATTGAACAAATAGGTATCTTGGAAGCCTCTAAGAGAAGTGGTCGGCCTAGAAAACTAAATGCTAGATCAGTTAGATTAAAAGTAATTTTGTCCTAAGATCCGTTTAAAACCCCAAGACAAATAAAAGCCGAAATCGAGGCAAAAGGAATTGGCAGTGTTTCTACAAAATCTATGAGTAGATGATTAAATGATTTGAAGTTATTTGCACGTCGCCCGAGTAAGAAGCCGCTAATCTCGAGGAAAAACCGTAAGGACCGATTACAATTTGCATGGTTGCATCTTGATTGGAACATCTGTGACTGGAAGAGGGTATGTTTCAGTGACAAATCCAAGTTCAATATGTTTGGATCAGATGGTGTACATTATGTTAGACGTCATAGTGGACAAGGATTGAACCCCAAGTGCACTTTGCCCACTGTCAAACATTGAGGCGGGTCTGTTATGGTTTGGGGGTGCTTTTCAGGGTTTGGGATGCGACCTTCACATAGAATAGATCCCATTATGGAAAAGTTTGTATACACAGACATACGAAAGCATGTCATGTTACCCTATATGGAAGACAATATGCCCTTAAGATCAATCTTCCAGCAAGATAATGACCCGAAGCACACTTCAAATCTCTCAAAGAAATTCTTTCTGGATGAAAAAATACCAGTTCTCAAATGGCCTTCACAGTCTGCCGATATAAACCCCATTGAAAATCTATGGGAATACTTAGATATGCAAATACGAGATAAAAATTATTCAAACAAGGATGAACTTTTTGCCGCTTTAGAGCAAAAGTGGAGACAGAATGATGATTCTTCTACATTCTATGCTGAGTCGATGCCAGGCGGTGATTGATAATAATGGTTATGCTACAAAATATTAACACAAACATGGTTGGTTTTCTATAATTCAATGAACTTTGCTTCTTTTTTCTATAATTGTTTTGCCTTATCTATATATTTTTGTCCTTCATAGTTCCAGTTTTTTCAATTAATTTTTTATTGAAGGAAGTCTAATGAACGTATTTATGTATATAACGTCTATAACGAATTATATATACAGGTTGGTTTATAAATAAAACAAGTTAAATAAGAAATACAGCACAATTTTAATTTGTCTATATACTTTTGTCCATTACTGTATGTGTATTCAAAACCTTCAAGGTTGTTTTATATGCACAATGTGTGCATTCATGAATTCTAGAAGAAATGGACGCAATAAACTCAGGATGTTCCTTGATTATATGATTATTTAGTCTATGTTTAAATTTAAATTTCGTATTACAGTGAGTACATATGCTGAATTTACATACAGACTCCGGATGTTTCAATGTGTGGCTTGGCGAATGATTCTTCATAGTCGTTTTATATTCACAATATTCACATTAAAAAATTCTAGAAGTAACAGATGCAATACAGTCAGGATGTTCCTTGATTATATGATTATCTAGCACCATTTTAGTTTTAAATTTCGCATTGCATTGAATACATATGATTAATTTATAGTTACCTACTGACTCTGAATGTTTAAATAACATATGTCTAGCTAAACGAGACTTGATGGTTGTTGTGTAAGCGCAACGTGTGCAATGATGTAATTTACAAGACAAGGACGAAATAAAATCAGGGTGTTCCCTAATTATATGATCATACAGTGTACATTTCCTTTTGAATTTCGCATTACAGTGAGTACATATGAATATGCCGAATTTATAGTTACTTGCTCTTGCTGTCTTAGAATGTTTCAGCATATGTCTCCTATAATTACCGTTATTGGTTGATTTATACGCGCAATGCGAACATTTATGAGTTTTACTAGAAACGGACTCGACAAGATCAGAATGTTGTTTAATGAATTGATCGTCTAGACTCCTTTTGGATCTGAACTTTGCATTACAGTGTATACACGTGTTATGTTTATAGCTAAGACCGTGTTCATTTAAATTTCTATGTTCTTTCATATGCCTAACCAGAATATACTTATATCTAGCAGAATAATCACAAATATGACAATAAACTAAATTTCTGTTCAATTTTTTACAGGCTACAGGCCGCTGTTTCTACACACTGTAACAAAAGAAACTATCATTATTTCAGACAATAATATTCAAGTTTTATGGAGTGACGGCGCTGGACCTAGAACTACGAGGGTGGTCCCAGAAGTACCCGGCCTGACCTAGAGATGGTGATAGTTGTTTGAAAAATATCATTGTCTTAGAAAGAAAGCATAGGCGTCAAGTTTGAAGACGCCACGTGGTTTAGTATTTGTTCTAATTATAAACAATAAATATTATAAAAAGGGTATCGAACTTATTGAACATCGCTGGGAAAATTCTATAGAGCTCAACGGAGATTATGTTGAAAAATAAATACATTTTTTTTACAAAATTTTTGTGTTTTCTTCGTCGGGTCGGGTACTTCTGGGACCACCCTCGTACACTCTATTTTCCAGTCGGAAATCTTTGCGATTCTGGCTTGTGTATCTCGCATTCTGGAGGAGGCCGGGCTTAGGAGAAGAATAACAATCTTATCCGACAGCCAGGCTGCTATGAAGGCACTAAGTGCCTTGTATTGCAATGCAGGGAGGCTCTGGATCGTCTCGCAGCGAGGCATCCGGTATCGTTAATGTGGGTACCGGGGCACGCTGGGATAAGGGGCAATGAGACGGCGGACAATCTGGCGAAGACAGAATCAGACAGCAAGCTCGTTATTCCTGAGCCAGCTTTAGGAGTGCCCGCGCAAAGAGTTAGAAGGAAAATGGAGACGTGGATTGCAAGACAACACTCTCAGAAATGGAGACGTATCTCCAGACATCTCCGTTAGGCACGGGAACTCAGTGTAGGGCTCCGTATGGTGGCCAGAATGCCTCTAATTTCACGATTCACTCACTCATTTATGGAGTTGAAATTAGAAATATTAACAGAAATAATGTTGTGGAAACAAAAAAAAATTGGTCATACCAAAACAAAAACAGTTTTCTTATGTAACATGGCTTTCCACTAAATTGGTTGAAATTTTGTAGTGGTGATTTTCAACATGGCGAACAAAAGTTCCAATGAGATTCTCAGTAATCCCTGCCAACTTATTTATCTGAGTCTATACTTTTTTGAGAAAAAGCAGTGTTACTGTTACAGTAAGCGCAGATCGGTATTGTGTGATGCTAGAGACCTTTCTGCTTTCTGTGGCCCAGAGTGGCTGCTCTTGTCGATGAGCATGGACCAGAACATGTACGGTTCCAACAAGTCCATACAGCACGTCATTCAATGGCACTTTTACGAGAAACGTTTCCTGGACACGCTGTTTCTTTGCGCGGCGACATCGGGTGACCTCCGTACTCACCGGATTTGACCCCATGTGATTTTTTTCTTTGGGGCTGCGTGAAGGCAGAAGTGTACCGACATCGCCCCAAAGTCTAGAAAATTGTAGTTTATAAGTTTATATCCAAATGTTTTCTCTGTTAACACATTGCTATGAAATAAAGATCATCATCGCTCGGGTTACCTATCCTATTTTCTGCTGGAATCCACTTTCCTTCTTTTTGCGGATTTTGTCCCTTATTTTCCTATTTTATATATATATAGGTATATATATATATATATATAAAGTGACATATAAATCCGAACACCCAGTTTAAATGGTTTTATTTTAATAAAATTTTGTATAAGTACTTAATGAAGCATAATAAGTAAATAATAAAAATTTCAAAATGATTGCACTGCTTTAACGCCCTTTGACCTTTAATAATGTGTGGATGCACCCTGATGTGCTACGCATTCTCCAACGCGCCTAGGCATGCTTCTGATCAGGTGGTCAATGTCCTCCTGTGATATCTCATTCCAGGCAACCACCAACTCCTCTCGAAGTGCTTCTAGAGTCTGAGGAGGACGTTGCAAATTGAGCAATCTCCTACCCATCATATCCCACACGTGCTCAATTGGGGATAAGTCGGGAGATCTTTGTGGCCATGGAAACAATGTGACATCATTATGTTGAAAGAAGTCTATTGTGACTCTTGCAACATGTGGTCGGGCATTATCTTGTTGGAAAGTTGGATAAAACCATTTAAACTGGGTGTTCGGATTTATATGTCACTTAGTATATATATATATATATATATATATATATATATTGAGACGTGGTCATTGTCGTCTAGACCAGTTAGGTGAAAAATTAAAGCTTCCGCTTTTTGTTGGGTACTTCGACAAGATTTAAGCAAAGAGGACTCTTTATACTTTTTTTAATTCTCTCTAGCTTTCAATGGACTTTGCCATCATCATCAGGAGCTGTAATTACAATGATAACAGTAGCAACAAAGGTGTAAAATGAATTTAAATTGACTCAACTTACAGTAGTATGTGAGAATGTTGCTAATTGTTGTTTTCGTATAGGATGAGGGAAACGTCCAGTAACATGGTCAGAGCTGAATAGGTTGCACAATAGTCAAAATTTATACAAAACATGACAGAAACACGTTAAAAACAGATTAAAAATTATTTTAAAAAATTAGAACATTACATCGTGAAACCACCTGATGATTGCACAAATTAGTGGTCATGGAATGATGAATTGATGAGTGACATGAAACCCTTTGACAGAAGGCCGAAGGATGTCAATGTCAGTATTGAAAGATGGAACGAATTGTGGGCGTGTGCCAAAAACGTTGCCAAATCACTTCAGATGAAGAGATTTTCAGAATTTTATGATGGAATTTGTTAAACCGACCAGAGGCATAATAATATAGTTTATTCAACTGCCTCTGGTCGGTTTAACAAATTCCATCATAAAATTCTGAAAATCTCTTCATCTGAAGTGATTTGGCAACGTTTTTGGCACACGCCCACAATTCGTTCCATCTTTCAATACTGACATTGACATCCTTCGGCCTTCTGTCAAAGGGTTTCATGTCACTCATCAATTCATCATTCCATGACCACTAATTTGTGCAATCATCAGGTGGTTTCACGATGTAATGTTCTAATTTTTTAAAATAATTTTTAATCTGTTTTTAACGTGTTTCTGTCATGTTTTGTATAAATTTTGACTATTGTGCAACCTATTCAGCTCTCACCATGTTACTGGACGTTTCCCTCATCCTATACGAAAACAACAATTAGCAACATTCTCACATACTACTGTAAGTTGAGTCAATTTAAATTCATTTTACACCTTTGTTGCTACTGTTATCATTGTAATTACAGCTCCTGATGATGATGGCAAAGTCCATTGAAAGCTAGAGAGAATTAAAAAAAGTATAAAGAGTCCTCTTTGCTTAAATCTTGTCGAAGTACCCAACAAAAAGCGGAAGCTTTAATTTTTCACCTATATATATATATATATATATATTATTTCCAGTAATCTGCGGTCCCGGCAACAACGGCGGCGACGGCCTAGTGTGCGCGCGCCATTTGAAGGTGTTGGGTTACAAGTCGGTGATTTACTATCCGGTACGCACCGAGAAGCAGCTCTACAACAGCCTGACCACTCAGTGCACGAACATGGCGGTGCCTTTCTTGCAAATGCTGCCCGAACTGTCGACGGTCGAATGCACGTTCGCGCTGATCGTCGACGCCGTGTTCGGGTTCAGCAGCTTCAAACCGCCGGTGAGGGAGGCGTTCGTCGCAAGCATCGATCTCATGAAGAAGGCTACGGTGCCTGTTGTCAGGTATGTGACGGCGATGAGGTTCCAATGCATAGACCACTCAAGTCACATGAGGAAAAATGTTGAGGAAACATAAAAAACATTTTTGATTTAAATTTTTTGTTGTCATTTGCATAATTTCTTAAATATATCAATCTGTAAGTAAACAAAATGAATGAGTTATGATGGAAAGATTAATGGACTTGACTGGTGTAACAAGTTTTTTGATTTATTAAGGGATAAAATTAAAATATAACAAACTTTGACGTTTTGTTAAGTTTCTGAATTAAATAAACTTTAATGCAACTTTTGGTTCAAACTTAAAATATTTTCATTTATCTTCTTTGAATTCTGATGTGGAAGTTTCTTTATCTGGTGAAAAGCTCTGATGGTATTTTCTGATTTCTTCATAGAACAACCAATCACACTGTGGCACATAGTTTTTAGCCAGAGTCATAACGTGATCAAGTTTTTTCTTCTTTCAGTATTCATCTTAATTGCAGTGTTTTGTAGAGTCAGAGGCTGCACATTCCTGCGATCTTCGGATTTCAAAAATATTAAACTGTTACAAATAGACTGTTTCACTACATTTAAATAATATTTCATTACCTAGCTGTTCATAGCGGACGACTCGACATTTTGAAATCGTAAATTTATTGTTCTCCCTTGAAAGATTCGAGTACTCTTGCAGCAAATATATTTTGTCGTGATTTCACTGTGTAAAAACCAATCAAGTCCAGGATTTGGGCTATTGCTTTTTTCACGAGACTCTATAACCTTGTTTTTTTGTTTGTTTATTGAAGATTTATTTAGCATTAATGGTACAATGTCAATTTTGTATAATTACTCGTTTACACATTTTTTTATTCGATTTTCGCTAATTTTTCATTTTTGTCTATTAAAATTACATCACTATGCATTTTGGGTATTCATAAAGTGATTTATTGATTTATCACGAGCCATTTTTAATTGTTAACAACACCACCAATGCATTGAAAGTTGATTTAAACGTCAAAAATCAGCTTCTTAGGCCCGTATCGTCAGTCGTCCCTACAATTGTAGGGCGCGTTTATGGCCTCCTTAATTGTCATACTCCTTTCTCTCCTTCAAAAATTTCTAGATTACACTTGTCCCGTGTCAGCGTCAGCGCTCTCCTATTGTGAAGATATGTTTTCTTTTTAAATTGTAGGAAATTTCAGACTGATAAAACATGATATAACTCAAAAGCAAGCACAATTTGATGCAAATAGATGTTTGTGACATAACCTCATAATAGAGCGCTGACACGGAAAAGTAGAAAACTATGACAATCAAGGAGGCCATAAAGGCGCCCTACAATTGTAGGGGCGACTGACGATACGGGCCTTAGCAATTTAAAATGTGATCATTTGTCATACAAAGTCTAGCATTATTTTATCGAAGACCATTGAACATGTATTTTGCTATACACAAATTATTTTGCAAAGAAGACAATTTCTAAATATAAACGATTTTTAAAAATAGCCGCGTCGGTTTTATCTTCCCATAAACATTTAAAGAAAGCAAAAATATTATATTTGAAATAAAATTTATATTAGCCCTCAAATAAATTCGAAAATATCATGTTTTGTGGCGTTCGAACAACTTCACTGAGACGGCGCTCGTAGATATTTTCAGTAGCAATGAAAAATATTCCCGTTTAACTTTAGTTTGTTGTTTGTTGTTCGTGCCGCCCGCTTTGGAGGAAAAGTACGAGCTGAACCTGCCGGAGTACCCGGGAACGGAGTGCTGTGTCCTCATCAGCTGCGATTGCGAGGATGAGGAACATCAGAAAGATCATTAGATCCGCAAAAATCGGGCTACATTATTTGATGTTTTTAGTGAAACAAATCGAAATGTAGTAATCGGCGATTTGTCTAGCGGTATTTTTTAATAAATATTGTATCTTGTGGGAAAAGTTCACTTCTTTGTTCATTTTGGGGCGCTGAATCCAAAAACGACAATGAAATAAAAAAATTAGTTGGATTCCACTTTCGCTGGTACCTTTTTTCCATTGTTGAAATATCCTGATGAAAACGTTCGCCGTACTCATCACTTACGGCTGCGCAATTGTCAGGAAAAAAGTCCAGGTGTGAGTGTAGGAAATGTATCTTAAGAGACATATTACAGCCCTTTTTTTGATACGATGACAGCATATGTTTGACAAGGGTTTTATAGTTGTCAGCTTTTCTATTTCCCAAGAAATTAGTGACCACCAGACGGAAATCATTCCCAGCAGTTTTTTCAATAGCTGTTAAAGTGTTTTCAAACTGTGTATCTTTCAAAATATTTCGAATCTGTGGCCCAACAAAAATACCTTCTTTAACCTTTGCCTCACTTAGTCTTGGAAATTTCTGACGCAGGTATTGAAAAGCTGACCCATCTCTATCTAATGCCTTGACAAAGTTTTTCATTAGGCCCAACTTGATATGCAGTGGTGGTAATAAAATTGTTTTCGAATCTACTAATGGCATATGCTGTACATTTTTTTGACCTGGCTCTAGGAATTAACGAACAGACCAGTTTTCTCTGGTGTAATAAAGTGCCTTTGCCCGACTATCCCATTCACACAAAAAACAGCAAAACTTTGTGTAGCCTAGCTGCAGCCCAAGTAAAAGTGCAACAACTTTCAAATCGCCACAAATATGCCATTGGTGCTCATCGTATTTTATGCATGTCAATAGGTACTTCATATTGTCATATGATTCTTTCTTGTGAACTGCATACCCTACAGGAAGAGATGGTAAAATATTTCCAATATGCAATAACACTGCCTTTAAACTCAATGTTGAACTGTCTATAAACAATCTCCATTCTTCTGGGTTATAGTTTATATTTAAAGCCGCCAGTAAGCCGTTAATGTTACTGCAGAAAACCAAATTATTCTCCATATTGAAAAATGGTTCTAAGTCTTTGTGGCGTTTACGAAAAACACATACCGAAACATCGTCTTCTAACAAGTTCCACTGCTGCAGTCTTGATCCAAGTAACTCTGCCTTACATTTTGGAAGTTCTAAATCTCTTACAAGATCATTTAATTCTGACTGTGTTATTTTGTGCGGTTGGTGGCATGACATGCTCGGTATAAAATCAGGATCTCTTGACGTTGATGGCATATCTTCTTCCTGACGAATCACTCGATCGCCATGATCTGATTCGTTTTCTGACTCGCAAGTGTACGATTCTGGGGGTTTTGGAATAGGATTTTCGTCACTGTGAGGCACATGTCTCATCGCAGATGGTATCTTTGGGTAGTTAATAACCGATTTTTTTTTCTTGGACATACCTTTGGCTTGTCCAACACAAGGTACCATGCAAAAGTAACAATCATTAATATGATTTGTAGACTCTCTCCAAACCATTGGGACAGCAAAGCGCATATACCGTTTTTTGCCATTTAACCAGCTCCTCAGACTTGAAGCACATGTATTACAGCAGATGTGGGGTGCCCACTGTTTGTCTTGATCACTTAGTTTACAACCGAAATAAAGCTATGCCTTCGTTATTAGTGGAGTAATAGACCGTCTCTGAGACGCAAAAGTCACATCACCACACACGTAACAAAACTGATCTGGATTGTTTACACACTTTCGAGACATCTTGCATGAACGCTGTCAGCCAACTGAGGAAAAAAATGGCTAATATAAAACAATATAATGTACACGTATGTATAACGTAACACAATCATGCCGATTACATCATCTTTCCTTGCCGAATATAAAAATGTAGCACGTGCATTCTTGTGAATTACAGTATATTAACACTGTCACAGCAGGAACACATATAATTACCGTATCTCTAAAACTTGAACTGATATTGAAAAAATAAGTTTCATTCCGGTTTTAGCACATTAAAAATAGTAATATTTTGTTGATTTTATTTAGGATATTTTTTGGCTGTTGATCAGTGAAATTGGTTCGAGCGCATGCAGATGTGTATTAATCTTCGTGGAGAATATTTCGAAAAACAAGTCATTTAAAACTACCTACCGTGTTTTTTTATTTCCATATGCAAAACTTATTTAGTCAAAACTATGCGACATTCGGCTTGAGGTACCAAAAATCAACTTTCCTTATCGGTGGCTATATGCTTTCATAGATCACGGAAATTTGGAGCGCTAAATTTGAATATCATCGAAAATGACATCGAATTCAAAGTCTATAGACCCGATTAATCTATAAAACAAGCTTCCATCCTGATGCAACAATTTTTGAAAATTTTGTAAGTATGTAATTGATTTTTTCCTTCTTCTGAGAAGTGTAATATTTTAGGATTTTCTTTTCGTGTTGTGAACTGTGCCATTTAAATTTAGGTACTTTTTTCCTTATAGTTGTTTATCAATTATGTCAATGTCTTTCGGTCGGGTTGAAAAACAGCGTAAGCTGATACTCCACCTTTCACTATTTTGTTTTCTTCGTATTAAATCAACTATTTTGTAATGCTGTGACGAATAAATACCATTTATTATTATTATTATTATTATTATTATTATCATTATTAATCGTTTTTTGAAAGAGTAGAATTCTTGCAAGTATCTAGAAAACGGAGCACTTCCGGGCTGAATGACAAGCCTTATGGAAAAAAATATAACTGATATCACTTACGCCTAGTTGTAATAAACAGGAATGCCTAACATGTAAATCGGATACATTGAAGTACTTTTTCTTCATCTTGAGTTTCTAACTATGGAGTAAGACTTAGAACCGGATCGTCAATCGTTCCTACAATAAATTGTAGGACGCCTTTATGGCCTCCTTGATTTTCATAGTATTCTACTGTTCCGTGTCGCCGCTCTATTTTGAGGTTATGTTACATATAACTATTTGCATCAAATTGTTCATGCTTTTGAATTATATCATCTGTTATGTCAGCCTGAAATTTCCTAACATTGAAAAAAATATACAGTGTGGCATTTACTTGCGTGCAGCCCTCTGGGCCGGGGTGACACCAACCCTAAAATCTTAAGTGGAAAGGGAGGTCGAGTGATACCTTATTTTAAAGGTCTTTGAATTCCCTTTATAATGATGTAAAATACATGAGCTTCAGTTCAGTAGCTTTGAAGATTTATTGATTTAAAGCTTAAAGTAGACTTTAATAGGTACATCAGATTAGTTTGTACTACTTTCAGAAGAAATTTGACTAAAAGAATTTACTTAATAAGTAAATGCTTTTCTTCACTACGCCCATGGTTTGTTTATCATTTTGTTGTTGAAAGTAGCTATTGAGCGTTTTTTTGTGGCAAAAAAGTTACATCTTGAAGAAAGATAAGGAAATATCTCGTACTTATTTTAAATAGGAATTTAGTACATAGTTTGCAATTGATTTGACCAAACTTTGTTGCTAAAATATCTTGTAACCCTTTATTACATAAATTAACCATGGTATATTCCACAGCAGAAAGAGTTGAAATTATCGAGATATTTTTCTATATATATATAATAATCAGTGCGCTAATAGAACAGCAGAAATATTCAATAAGCAACATGAGAACAGTAATGTGTATCGAAAATATGTTCTAGAACTTGTAGCTAAATTTCGGGAAACTGGGTCAGTCGCCAATAAAAAACGCAGCATTGAAAATCTCATAAGGAACGAAGCAATAGAAGTCGGCAAGTTTATGTAGATCCTACGTTAAGTACCCGCAAATTGGAGACTGTGTGTGGTGTTAGTCGATGTTCTGTCCAACGGATTCTAAAGACCCATAGTTTTCATCCGTATAAAATTCACCTGGTACAAGAACTTAATGAATACGATTTTGATCGGCGATTACAATTTTGTGAAGATATGAGTGAACGAATTATTAACGATGTACATTTTCTATTCAACACTTGCTTTTCTGACGAATGTTCCTTTTTCTTAAATGGCGTAGTAAACCGTCATAACTGCCGATATTGGGTCCGATTCTAATCCCAGAATTTATCATGAGGTTCATACACAGCAGCCAAAAAAATTAAATGTTTGGGCCGGTATTTTTGGCGATCATTTAGTTGGTCCTTTTTTCTTACCTGAAAATTTGACCGGTGAAATGTATTTGGAATTGCTGAAAGACGCCATAGATCCTGCATTGAAAATCAGAATGATCGGTGATACATTGCGAATAGGTTGATGTTCCAACAGGATGTTGCCCCACCACATTACGCATTACGTGTTCGCCAATATTTAGATCAGATGTTTCCAGATCAATGGATTGGTAGAAGACGTGCCATTGATGGCCCCCAAAATCGCCAGATTTATCACCTTTGGATTTCTTTATGTGGGGTCATTTAAAAAGCAAAATCTATGCTACTCAGCCAATATAATAAGAAGACCTGTGACAAAGAATTGTGAATGAGTGCCTTCAAATTACTCGTCAAATATTGCAAAATGTGCGGCAACGTTTTGAGCAAAATCTTTATTATTGCATGGAGAGTCATGGTAGCCATTTTCAATATTTACCTTGCCTAACGGGTCAGTTCATTCTTCATTTTTAAACTACTTTGCTGCCAAATGTATTGATCTTCACTAATGTTGATGTATTAGTTTTATTTAAGCTTTAAATCAATAAATCTTCAAAACTACTGAAGTGAAGTACATTAATTTTATATCATTATAAAGGGAATTGGAAGACCTTTAAAATAAGGTATCACTCGACCCCACCCCCTTTCCATTTAAGATTTTAGGGGTGGTGTCACCCCCGCTTAGGGGGCTGCACGTGCTAACGTGATCTTTTGCCAAACTTGTGTCCCCTTCGAAAACAAAATCGACGGGTCTGAGCGTTTTAAAAAAAAAACGAGCTGTCAGTAAATGCGTCTGTTTCGTTTTCGATGCGCCACCCTGTATATCCTTATCATAGGAGAGCACTGACGCTAACACGGATCAGAAGAAATCTTGAAATACCACCGCCTTTCTGAAAGAAAAAATACTATGAAAATACGACTACGATCCGGCCGTTAATAAAAGACACAGATATAACAACAATTATATTCGGGATGTTGGTTCAAACTTTGACTTAAAAACCAATAACATCTATTACAGAACATATAGTAACAATAATTAAAGAAACAGTACTGGTAACAGCCGAATCAGTATCATCAGACGGAATACCATAGTAATTCTGAAGATCCCTCTCCACTTGCTTTTTCCATTTCAAATTGGCTTCAGCCTTCTCCAAGGCTGCATTGCCGCTTTCCTTGTGTTCTGCGTCCAGGTTCGTAACCAAATTTTTCAACTAAAATATAAAAAATATAGATACAGAACACAAAAGAATAATGCGACAAGTTCTTATATAATATGTGCTATGGAGATGTAGACTCCTACTAGAAATCCGTTTTTGTCAAATAACATTTGAAGTATGCGCAATTAACAACTAGAAGTTGAATAAGTGGTATGAAAGTTTATACTCTGGAGATTTTTGGGTCCGTCATTTTATCAATATGACATAACAGCAGTATTAGTTACTTTTTCATATCAGAATTTCGGATGACGATGAAATTACACGTGTACTGATACCGCAAATTGGTCGCAATGATTGATTTTACTATACGAGGGTGGTCCCAGAAGTGCCCGGCCTGACCTAGAGATGGCGATAGTGGTGTGAAAAATATCATTTCCATATTAGAAAGTATGCAACCTATAAAGCATATGTGTCAAGTTTGAAGACGCCGCGTTGTTTAGTATTTGTTTGGCAGCCATCAATACTGAACGTTTTCAGTGAATTTGTGAAAATGGAGAAGATTGGTCATCGTTATGTGGTACAATACTTTTATTTCAAAAACCTCAGCCCAACCAATATAAAAGCTGAACTGGATTCTACTCTGGGTGAGTCTGCTCCTTCGTTTACAACAGTAAAATATTGGGTAGCAGAGTTTAAACGAGGCCGTATGAGCTGCCAAGACGAGCATCGCAGTGGTCGACCAAATGAGGTGACGACTCCAGAAATGGTGAAGAAAATTCACAAAGCGGTACTGAATGATCGTCGACTGAAAGTGCTCAAGCTAGCAGACACAGTAGGCATTTCAAAAAACTGCGGTTCATCGCATATTATCTGAAAACTTGGACATGAGGAAGCTGTGTGCAAGACGGGTGTCGCGACTGCTCGCAATCGAGCAAATACAGTGTCGTGAAGATGCTTCAATTGAGTGTTTAGCGAAGTTTCACAGCAACAAAGCAGAATTTTTGCGTCGTTTCATAACCATGGATGAAACATGGGTCCATCACTTCGCACCCGAGACAAAAGAACAATCAAAACAATGGACTCAAAAGCGACAACCGGCTCCAAAGAAGGCGAAGACCGTTTCATCTGCAGGCAAGGTTATGGCGTCGGTTTTTTGGGATGCGCGTAGGATAATTTTCATTGGCTATCTTGAAAAAGGTAAAACGATCAACGGCGAGTATTATGCGAACTTATTGCAACGTTTGAGCAATGAAATCAAGCAAAAACAGCCGCATTTGGTTAAGAAGAAAGTGTTGTTTCATCGAGACAATGCACCAGCTCACAAATCCGTTATTGCAATGGCCAAAATTAACGAATTAAATTTTGAATTGCTACCTCATGCAGATTTCGCCCCCTCGGATTATTTTCTGTTTCCAAACTTGAAGAAATGGCTCAGTGGCCAAAGATTTTCCAACGGTGAAGAAATGATGTCGGCAATTAATGGCTATTTTGAGGAGCAAGACAGTTCTTATTATAAAAAGGGTATCGAACTTATTGAACATCGCTTGGAAAAGTGTATAGAGCTCAAGGAGATTATGTTGAATAATACATACATTTTTTTACAAAAATTTTGTGTTTTCTTCGTTGGGTCGGGTTCTTTTGGGACCACCCTCGTATTAATAAACTTCCAACCCTACATTTCTATGCACCTATCAGACATATTTCATACGTCATATATTTCCCCGTACATTGGCACTTAAAAATATTATAAGCCGACAGATCACGTACCTGGTCGCACTTGTCGTGTACGACTAGGTTGTAAATATTGCATCTTTGGCAGTGGATTCACGGGACTTATATCATCACATAGATTAAGCTTGCGTTTATTTCAATGAGATTACTTGATTAAAAATTGTTGACGAGCCCAAATGGTGCACTAAAGTTTCCGATATCTGCCCACATAACTCTCTCAACCTTTTCGCTGACATACCACAAGAATATTAACTCAAAGCTGCACAGCTTTCAACCAGAAGCCTCTCCGTCGTCGATATCAAGGTATAAATAAATATCTTGTGAGCTGTTTCACTTTCCACACTATAGAGTAGCGGGAAAAAGTTTGAAAATGAATATTAACATTATTATGAACTATTTCATATACCTAAATTAAAACTGAGAAGGAACCGATAATATAAATATTAAAGTCGTTCCCGTAGTAATACAAAGTTTATCTGATCAATATTCAAATTTTCTGAAAGTAAAAACGCGCGTTTTTTAAATACCACAGTTTTTGTTACGACAAAAGTATGGAAACATTTCAGTTTTGCCGTATTTCTTCGTTCTGCGATATTTTGATATTGCGTGCGGTAAATATTAACATCAGTGAGAATGGCAAAAGTAAAAGAATTTTCAAAAGATTTAAGAGACAAAGTAATTGGATTATTTAGAAGTGGTGTCAGAAATGTTAACATTTCTCAAAGATTAAAAACGAACAACGGGACGATTCCGAAAATTATTAGTAAATATTAAGAATACGGATCAACAGCAACGCGGCCCAGGTGCGGAAGACCGAAAAAAAAACTGATTATGTTTTGGACGCTACATTAAACGTTTGTCCCATGAAGATTCTCGAATGCCAGCCACACAGATTTTCAAAAGAATCGTAAAAGAGGGTGCCGAGAATCTTTTTGTCAGAACAGTGCAGAGACGCTTGGTGGGTTTTGGGCTTTTTGGTAGGCGTCCAGAGCAAAAGCCTCTCATTTAAATTTTTATGGGGCGATAAAAGCAAGTTTAACTTGGTTGGATCTGACGGTTCGGCATATGTGAGACGTCCAATAACGACAAAAAGTATCAGTTTACAACAGTTAAGCACGGTGGAGGCAACATCATGGTTTGGGGTTGTTTTTCTAGTTCTGGAACGAGTTGAGAAAATGGATCAATAACTTCAAAAAGATATTCTTAGTGAACACATGTTCTAAAAACTAAAAAATGTTAATGTTCTTACATGGCCTTCGCAATCCCCGGACCTAAACCCTATAGAACATCTCTGGAACGTTAAAAGACAACTGACAAGAAAGACTTTTTAAAATAGCAACAATTACGTGATTATGTAAAAAATATTTGACTAAATATCCCAACAGACGTCTGTAAAAAATTGGTGTCTTCTATGAGCAGCAAATGTCAGGCAGTGTTGAATGCTAAAGGCTATGCTACCAAATATTAGCTAGACAGTATTTTTAAATCTTTTTGTAGTTATTGTATACTAAGTGACATATAAATCCGAACACCCAGTTTAAATGGTTTTATTTTAATAAAAGTTGGTGAATGTATTTATCTTACTGTAAATAACAAGTGAAAAAAATTTCAGCCTTATCAGTTGGACATTCCGGTTTTTATACTGCTTTTTTTTAATTCACTAACGCTCTAAAAATGAATATTTCAGCCGCAGTAAAAAATCAACGTTGGCGGATTTTGGTTCTTGACATCCTTTACGATCGGTTACGATGCCTAGAGTACGGAGACCTGTACGATTTCGTCAACTTAGTGAGTTTGATAGGGGCCGTATAGTGGGACTTCGGGAAGCTGGACTTTCTTTTCGGGCAATTGCAGTTAGAGTGCAAAGAAGTGTAGACACTGTGGTTAGGTGTTGTCAGGCATGGCTTCGAGAAGGCCGTACGCAAAGAGCAAGGGCCACTGGACGCCGCCGTAGAACAACAGACCGTGAAGATCGCCGCCTAAGATTATTGGCCTTAAGGGACCGTTTCTCCACTACCAGGTCCATTGCAAATGAATGGTTTGCAGAACACGGAAGACCTATTGGCATGCGAAGTGTTTACCGACGAATGAGAAGTTTTGGCTTGTTTTCATACTGGCCACACTGGGTCCTCCTTTTAACTCGAGAACACCGACGTAATCGCCTTGAGTGGTGCAGACAACGGTCACTCTGGGATCAGGAATGGAACAGTAATGTCTTTAGTGACGAGTCTCGATTTTGTTTAGGCATGCACGATGGTCGTGCCAGGGTTAGGTAGGCGACGTGGTGAAAGGAGGAATTCACAGTTTTTTGTTGAAAGACATGTTCATCACACTGTTGGAGTTATGGTTTGGGGTGCTATAGCTTATGGTTCCAGGTCACCTTTAATCTTCATCAGAGGTAACATGAACGCGCAGCGTTATATCCACGAAGTTCTAGAACCCCATCTTTTACCCTATCTTGACACCCTGGCAGATCCAACTTTCCAACAAGATAATGCCCGACCACATGTTGCAAGAGTCACAATAGACTTCTTTCATCATAATGATGTCACATTGTTACCATGGCCACCAAGATCTCCCGACTTATCCCCAATTGAGCACGTGTGGGATATGATGGGTAAGAGATTGCTCAATTTGCAACGTCCTCCTCAGACTCTAGAAGCACTTCGAGAGGAGTTGGTGGTTGCCTGGAATGAGATACCACAGGAGGACATTGACCACCTGATCAGAAGCATGCCTAGGCGCGTTGGAGAATGCGTAGCACATCAGGGTGCATCCACACATTATTAAAGGTCAAAGGGCTTTAAAGCAGTGCAATCATTTTGAAAATTTTATCATTTACTTATTATGTTTCATTAAGTACTTATACAAAATTTTATTAAAATAAAACCATTTAAACTGGGTGTTCGGATTTATATGTCACTTAGTATATTTAATTGTGAAATGTTTCCATACTTTTGTCGTCTCATTTTTGGTCATAAAGTAATATTAGATGTAGTACCACAGCAAACACAAATTGTCATTTTTATCCTCACGACCTTAAGCAAACTATATGATAAAAAAATACTCCTTAATAATAAAGAATAAAAAATTAGCGCACTTTTTAAAAATTACTAATGATGATTCCAAATGTTTGTCCGCTACTGTACTCAAGATAAGAGTCACTAAAGAGAGATCACAGGTTTAAGATAGCCTTGTATGGCATTTTTTGATTTATCCTTGACACATTATAATAAATAGACATATTTTTTAGATACATGTCATGAGTTTCTGTTGCTCTTATCTGTAATCTAATGCTAGCTGCTACAAACCTTATTGAGTTGTGTTTCATCCGTGATTCTGCTTGCAACTAAGTCTAACAGAGAAGGTAGAGCTCTCATGGTTCCATACCTACAAGTTAAATTATAAATGCAGTGGAATCCACTTATAATGGACTTGCTTATATTGGAAACCCGTATACAGGGTGTTCCATAATTATTGCGACAAAATGATAGGGGTTATAGAGGGCATAAAAATATGCAATTTTGCCTTATAAACCCCTGTTCGTAAATATGCCGTTTGAGCACTACAGTTAATTTTACCTTAAGAGCTCATAGGAGAAACAAAAAATTCACCAGCTGCAAAATGTTCGTCTAGCACATTTCATGGTCTCGCCGGTTTGTAAAAAAAGCCTGCTGTGTTTACATTTTTGTTATCGTACACCCGTACCACCTTTTAAAAGTCCAAGCCATGGGTCCATCAGACTATCTGCCGCGTCGACGTTTTTGTCGTTGGTGGCTGCAGCAGGAGTTGAGGCAACCAAACTTTGGTCGCTACGTTTTGTTCACTGACGAGTCCTGTTTTACAAAGGACGGTTATTTTAATAGCCGTAACAGTCACATTTGGGATGAAGAAAACCCTCATGCCATAGCCATCCATAGAGACCAACATCAGTTTTCAATTAACATCTGGTGCGGCATTGTGGACGAGCATATCATCGGGCCATATTTGCTTCCACCACGTTTGGATGGGCATGCTTATGGTCGATCCTTACAGCATGTGCTACCGGAACTATTAGAAAATGTGCCACTGAATATAAGAGCCGACATGTGGTTTCAACACCATGTCGGTCCAGCCCACTTTTCTTTACAAGTGCGGCAGTATTTGGACGACAAATTTCCAAATAGGTGGATAGGCCGAGGTGGCCCTGTGCCTTCGCCTGCGCGGTCACTTGACCTGACCCCACTGGATTATTTTATCTGGAGCTATCTGAAAGCTTTAGTGTACGAAACTGCTGTTCCCAACCAACAAGAGCTACTGGGAAGAGTGATGGCCGCGTCCGCACATGTTCAGGACATACCGGGGGTATGCCACAGAGTTCGCCGATCATTGAACAATCGTGCACAGCTGTGTATTGAGCAAGGTGGAGGACACTTTGAGCAATTACTGTAGGTAAGCTGTTTCAAGAAACTGATCTTTTTTTTTGCTGCAGCCCAAACGGCATATTTCCGAACAGGGGTTTATAAGGAAAAATTGTTCATTTTGATGCCCTCTACAACCCCTATCATTTTGTCGCAATAATTATGGAACACCCTGTATAATGGACACAGTTTAAGGTCCTATAAATAATTGCATGTAAAATCCTCAGATATTATAGACTCGCTTAAAATAGACCGTCGCTTTTAGCGGACTATTTTAATCCACTATAAGGCTGTATTTATTAGAGTTATAAACATGCCGAAAAGTGCGAAACGTCACAGTGTCAAATATTTAGAAAAACGGTGACAAAATTAAAAATGACTGGAAATCAAATAGTCAAAAGAAAAAAATGTGTCTATAGCTGCATCCCTAAGTCAATGATATGCTGTTTAAATGGTTTCAAGAAAAGCGTGCTAATTATTTTCCAATACGTGGACCTATGCTACAAATAAAGGCTGAAGAATTTGGGAAATTAATTTACTTACTTCAAATGTAGCTCCGGTTGGCTAGACAGGTTTAAGAAAAGACATAACATTGTTTTTGGAAAAATGTGTGTCGAGTCAGCTTCAGTTGACAAGAACGTATCAATGACTGGATTTCTCAAGTTTGGCCCGAAATATCCAGTGATTATTCAGATGATATTCAATGCAGATGAAACCGGGATTTTATAGAATGCTACCAGATAAAACTCATAAATTAAAAGGTGAAACTTGCAATGGAGGAAAACTATCAATAACTGTTATGATTTGTGCTGATGCTTCTGGTACTGAAAAACGGAAACTATTGATAATAGGTAAGTGAATGAATAGAAATTCATGTTCTAATTTTTTTGATATTCAATTTAAGTGCTTCAAAGAATTTATGACAGAGAAATTTAAGAAACCCAGCTGTTTCAAAAATGTTAAAACAATTCCCGTCGATTATGTTAGAAATAATACAGCTTGGATGACTTCATCAATTTTTGAAGAATATTTAAAAAAGTGGGACGCTGAAGTTGTTAGGAAAAATCGTAAAATTTTGCTCTTGGTCGATAACTGCCCCGCTCATCCAAATATTTCACTTAATAACATCAACCTTCAATTTTCTCCACCCAGTGTGACATCAGTTCTGCAACCAATGGACCAGCGTGTCATTTGGAGTCTCAAAGAAATGTATCGGGAACAATGTTGATAAAAATTATGGAGCTTCAAGAAGATGTTAACATTACCAAAGCTGTCACCATTTTAGATGCTATAAATTTGCTTACTATTGCATGGGAATTGGTTATTAGAGAAAATTTGTAATTGTTTTCGCCATGCTGGTATAGTGAGAAACATAACTGAAATAGTCAACGATTTTAATCCAGAAGATGAAATTCCATTAAGTGATTGATAGTTTACTGTATATAGACAAATTTTATGAGTATGTAAATGCTGACAATAATTTAAAAGCAACGCAGGAATTGTCAGACTTCAATTTGGTTAATGAAGGATCCGTTGATAACGAACAGGAAGACGAACTAGAAAACAACGATGAACAAGAGACAACTAAGGAGGCATTAGACTGCGTGAAAAGGTTGCAACGTTATTTTCAGCAACAAGAAGACAGTACAGCCAGACTAACGATCTAAATAATTATACAGGGTGGCCAAACACGTGACGTCATAAAAAAAATTAGATTCCCCACATCGAGAGGAACCCAAATCACCCCCATATATATGGTCCGATTTTGTTTAGTTTAGGAGTTATGATTTTTTTTTCGGATTTTTCGAGAATTTTTGAGTTCTGTGTTTATTTTTACCATAACTTCGTTAATAATTGTGATAAATGCCTGCTTTTTTCACGATTATGTAGCTAAGACCTAAGGCTTAACTATCATATAATCATTCAAGTCATGTAACTAATACTACTTTTTAATTTTTCAGGCTCTGGTTAGGCCAACCAACAGAGGACACGTCATCACCACCGACCAGCCACGTCATCTACGGCACAGGACACGTCAGCCGTTCTGGTATAAATAACCCCGAAAGGCTAAGTCACCTGCAGACGAAATAAGAGGCCATATCAGCCGAAACCTCGTGCTCTAAAAAATTGGATATTCCGGGACTCTGCTTTGCATACTGATTTGGACTTTGTTTGCTAAGAAGTTTGTGATGCATTATACGTTGCGTGAATATGCAGAAATGCATTATTATTATGGCGTTGCTCAAGGCAACGGCGCTTTAGCAGCTCAGCTGTACCGGGAACAACTTATACGCCGAGGCGGACCACAACCTGAGCATTACCCAGACCACCGTGTTTTTATTAACACACATAACACTTTCATGGCAGGCCGCATTCCAGGACGAGGAAGCAATGAAGGATATCCTACAGCTGATCCGGATCGCAGAGAAGTAGTACTTGAAGAAATTAGCCGGAATCCCTCAACGAGTACGAGATCTATGGCACAAAACCTTAGAATACCACGAACATCGATACAAAATATTCTTCATGAAGAAGGTTATCATGCCTATCATGTTCAAAGAGTTCAAGCGTTGATGCCTTCAGATTACCAGTTAAGAGTGGATTTCTGCGAGACAATGCTGCGAAGACAACGAGAGGATCCCGATTTTTTTGATAAAATTTTATGGACTGACGAGTCACGTTTTGAAAGAACAGGGATATTCAATATCCATAATTTACATACTTGGGCTGTTGAAAACCCCCACCAGTCAAGGCCGTCGACATTTGAACACCGTTTTAGTGTGAACATGTGGTCAGGAATATTCAATATGGAATTTATCGGTCCATTTGAACTGCCGTCAAGGTTGGATTCGGTAGCCTACAAAAGCTTCCTTGAAAATAGCCTACCATTATTGCTGGAAGATTCAAGCCTGGAAGCCAGACGGAACATGGTGTTCCAGAATGATGGTGCACCATGCCACAACGCAACGATCGTGCGAAACTACTTAAACGAAAGGTTCCCAGACAGATGGATCGGACGAAACGGACCGATACGATGGCCTCCACACTCCCCTGACCTCAACCCCATTGATTTTTTTGTTTGGGGATATTTTAAAGACATAACATTCGCCCAAGAATGTGCAAATGAAAATTCATCGAGGAACAAAATTCAAGAAGCGACACATGTGTTGAAAAACAACACACAAGCATTTAGAGATTTAAAACAAAATTTCATACGTAGGTGTACACTGTGCATTTCTGTTAGAGGCAGACATTTTGAAAACCTCTTGTAAATAACATAAATGAATAATAATCTGCTGTTCAGTAAAAATCAAACGTGTTTTTGTGGTTTTTGCAAATTTTTTTTCCGAAACTAACAATTTCTATTGAGCAGAGGGTTATCCAATTTTGGGTTCGGTTCTATTTGAGCCACAATTACGGTAGCATGTAGTAAAGCTAGGTTGATGAAATTTTTACGGTAAATAGCTGATACCGTAAGGAAGTTTTTAAGATACTTACGAATAGTAAGAACATGTTTTTTCAATTTTTTATAAACGTTCAAAGTTGTTGCACTTTTTTACTTTTTTGTTATGTTCGAAGATTTTGAAAAAAATTAAAAAGTAGTATTAGTTACATGACTTGAATGATTATATGATAGTTAAGCCTTAGGTCTTAGCTACATAATCGTGAAAAAAGCAGGCATTTATCACAATTATTAACGAAGTTATGGTAAAAATAAACACAGAACTCAAAAATTCTCGAAAAATCCGAAAAAAAATCATAACTCCTAAACTAAACAAAATCGGACCATATATATGGGGGTGATTTGGGTTCCTCTCGATGTGGAGAATCTAATTTTTTTTTATGACGTCACGTGTTTGGCCACCCTGTATATACAAAAAAACAATCTCTTCAAATGAAAATTATTAGGTTTTACCAAATAATTTTTTTACACATACCTACATAGTAAAATGCAAATTTCAAAGTTACGTATAACTTTTTTGTATGGATCTTTATTTATGTAACACATGTTAAACAAACACATTTTAAGCTTAATATGTTATTTCTGCCGCTTTTTTGATTAAAAAAAGTGTTTCTTTTAAGATGGTCATCCGCCTATAATAGACTATTTGTATTATTATTCAAGATTGGCCTATCATTATCATTAATTATCCATAGATAGAAACTAGAGAGAAGTGAAATTACTTACTGGGCGTCAATTTCCTTTTGGTGTTCAATCAAAAAGTCCAGCGCTGTGTCAAAATTACTTGGATTCCCGTTCACTACGGATACAAATACTGTTTGTCTGTCTTGTCGCCTGATCTCGGAATCAGTGACCGTCTTTAGCAAATACCTGAAAAAAATGATCATTTGAAAAACTCTAATAGCAATCCTAACATTTTTATAAAGTTATATCTTCTTCCAAATATTGTGTAGTGTTTCCAAGATGTTCCCCTGTGAATGAAGACAGACCTACCTCTTGAGAATATCTGTATCTTTTGAGCATCCCAGACCTGAAAGGAAAATAACACCTTCTGAAAGACTGGTGCTTTTGACGAAAGCATTCCATAAGAAGTCCCAGTCTGCATTGTCTGCACTATATCTCAAAGCGCCACAGTATACTATTCTCCTCAAGTCTTTAGGTGGCCTAAAATCAAAATTGTTAGTTGTTTGTGGAAACGAGCCCTAAAGCAAAATACACACATCATCAAAAGTGTTGGACCCCCTTTATAAATCCATCTAAATCTTTATACAGGGTGTCCGCATAGTTGGGGTTTTCCTTTTCAGAAACAACTACCCTTGAAATAACAAAGGTAATGTGTAGTGAAACGAGGGCGACCAAGTAAAAAAAAATAAAGGAAAAAGTACTCAGTCTCCAGTTGACGAGAAGGGCTAAGTACGTCTCTGCCCGAAATCATACCGCTCCAACAGAAAATGAAATCAGCTGATGCGCTACCGAGCAGACGCAGAAACCACATTGATTGTCTTACACTTAATGGCACATCTTCACCGAAAATGTTTGTTGAAAATGTGCCCGACGGACAGCGTGCGGATTTTCGAATGACCAAACATGAGTGTTCGGAAAGTTATTCACCCCATTACGCGTGAACGTAGATTCGTCTGTCACCAATATGCACTTCAAAAAATCCGGATTATTGTCATGTTGATGCAACAACCACTCACAAAACCGCACTATTGCTGGAAAATCGTCAGGTTGAAGGGCTTGTACACGTTGGACGTGAAACGGATACACAGCCCCTCTTCACGCAGCGTTTGCCACACTTTAGTTTTTGATACTTGCACTTCTCTAGCCACGCCTCTAGTGCTTGTTGAGGGATTCTCGTCTACGCGCTTTACCTATACACGCGTGACCGTAACCGTCGGTTGAAGGTTGCATACTGACCTGACACACTGACCCCGATCCAGTTCTGTCGTCGGGTTGAGCGAGTGACCTTGTACCAGTCGGTGATGTCGCGGCTACAGGACGGTATTCAGATATTTTTGATGTTGCAGAGCCCTTTATTAAGACATTGGTGTATATGGTACTAAGAAAAATTGCTTATATTTTCAAGATCTACACGTCGTGTAAAGGAAAACCCCAACTTTGCGGACACCCTGTATATTTAGCAAGCCAAAATGCGTTTGGATTTTTATAGAAATAAGTCAGTCTAACGGTAGTGTTTGAGCAAAAAGTATTAAAATAAAATGTTATACTGTAACTTTTAAAATGCCGCGAGCTGAAATTTCTGGTTTTGATAGAACACGAATAGTATCCCTCTTCCAAGCTGGATTTTCAAATCACCTAATAGCACTGGATTTGGGTATCCCAAGAAGTTCGGTTATTCGTCCAAAATACGATTTGTAGAGGTTTGCGCGCTTCGAAATTGACGCTTTATTTTTTTATATTTTTAGATGAAATTTTCACAGAGTGCTGAAAATAAAACCCCACAGGATGCTATAGAGCCACTTTTTTATTTTTTTCACTAGGTTCTTTTTAAAAAAATCGCGAAGTTGAACAGAAAAAGTGCGCACTTCAACCCATCATAAAACTTGTGCAAAAACAAAATTTCAAAAAGTGCTTCTATAGCACCCTGGGCAATTATCTTCTCAACATACTGTATGAATTTCATTCAAAAATATTGAAAAATGGAGTGTCAGTTTTGAAGCAGTTGAACCCTTGTAAATGGCTTTGATTTTTTTTTTGAGAAGTTTAGTTTTTTTTGTTAATTTAAATTACTTTTTAAGGAAAACAAATATTATTATCGAAAATAGGTCACATTTTGTATAAACTATCAATAAAAGTTTTCGGTACAAGTTTGCTATCTTGTTCTGTTATTTGCACAAAATTTAAAGTGTTCGAATATTTAATTATTTGGGCTCGTAGAAGCGCAGACGCAACCTCTTTCGTAGCTTCTGCTCTACTTATTCTGTGGTATTACGCTCATTGCTTACTTAGTTCCTTGGTTTTTATACGCAGTGAAATGATTTTTGGTCATCTCGATGCACTCAGGATGCCCTAATCTACAAGCTAGAGCTACAACCAGCGTTTGCTTTAAGGTGTATAGGTGATTTGTACCGTCAATCGTTGAAGGTGGCACGGATTGGTACACCTTTTCCAACTGCTGCAATACGTCATCCTGAAACCAAAAACGCAGATGTGGAGCATTGTAAAACACTAGTTGAAAATGACGTTTATGGCATAATTTTTCTGTTTTTAAAGTTGAGTTATTTATTTTAACAGCTTGTGGAAGTCGCCAAAAGAAGTTGATATACCAAAAATCACGTATACAGGGTGTTTCAGTTTATTGTTGCATAACTTTAAGATTCGATAGAACTTTTAAAATTAATGCATAAAGTCTATATAAACATGGGTCGAAAAATGCGTGGCTTCCGAAATACAGGGTGTTTAAATTTACTTTCTAAATTAGTTTTTTTTTAATATTTCGAACAATATTTGATGTATAACAGTGAAAATTGGTATACAAGGGTTTTTTGGTACGACAAAACGAGCCATGGGCATAGTTTTACTGTATCCGCTAGAGGGCGCTCTCTACTGTACCTGTAGTGTATTAAAATGACCGAAAAATTTTTCTTAGTGCTACTTTTTGTTTTTTTGAATAAAACAACTGATTCTTCGCACTTTTTAACATAAAAAAGCTCTCTTGTGAATTTTCGTTATAGTTAGCCGTTTTTGAAATATTTCGATTTTTAAGGTTCGATGCATTTTTAATTATTTATGATAAAATAACGTTAAAAAATCAGTATCTCGATAATTTTTAGAAGTAGGCTGTGCCTGCAAATATTTTTGAAATTGAAAGCAGAATGAGGTTAAACGTCAATTAGTTGACAGTTAGTTTTGTTGTCTGTTGAAACCTGAAACGTTTTTTTGCAATTATGAATGCACGAAATTTAGTTTCTTTTACCTGTTTTTTTTTGTAAGTTTTATAAAAATGCCATTTTTAGTCTCCAATCAAGAGTTAGCGGATATTCATTTTGTGTATGGCTTTGTAAATGGAAACGCAGCAGAAGCAGCCAGAGAATACGCACGAAGATTTCCAAACAGACGACATCCAACTCGCTCAGTATTTGTAAGAGTGCATCGCCAAATAATTGAAAATGGTTTTGGAAATCTCCAAAGAGATCAAAACATAAATGTTCGTCAGCGCAGATTTACCCATATGATTCTGCGTGAGTTTGATAGGGATCCGACCAAAAGTGTTTCTGGTGCCTTGGGAATTTCAGCAAGCCATGTTCACCGTGTTCTTAGAAATGACCATAGACGTTATTGATATAAATATAATATATATATATAACTGAAACCAAAAACGCAGATGTGGAGCATTGTAAAACACTAGTTGAAAATGACGTTTATGGCAGAATTTTTCTGTTTTTAAAGTTGAGTTATTTAGTTTAACAGCTTGTGAAAGTCGTCAAAAGAAGTTGTGTATACCAAAAATCACGTATATAAAACTTGGGTAATCAGAGAGTTAATTTGCTTTATTAAAAATTATTTAAAAAAAATCTATCGAGTTAAATGGATACCGCTTTCACAAAAACTGTTCAAAATTGCCCCCATTTGTTCGATTAACGCAAAATCTCGAAAATAAAAACCACGAATTAGGTCACAAGCAACTTGATTATTAAGTTATAAAAATGTTTTATCAGCATGGTACAAACAATGCATTGGAACTTTTAAAAACAAGTATCTCGAAAACTCTCAGCTTTAGATACTTCTAACAAGTCTTTTTTTGTTGTCGAAAGACGAGAAAATAAGATTTTTTGTTCAGTTGTTGTATACAGGGTGGCAAAAAAAGTTATGATAAGTTGTTTACCGAAATAGTGCTGTAAGTGTCGCCCTCTAGAAGTTTGGCCATGAAAAATAACAAATTCTTGTTTCTCATATAAGAAAGCTTCCCTATACCGAGTTTTATGCAAAAATCTGAAATACTTCTCAGGCAATAAGGAAAAATAGAAAATAAATTGTAACTTTGACACCCTGTATCTCGCAAACTATCAACTTTTAGACTAAGGTATGTTTAGGTCAAATTACATATTTTGGTCTGTAGTGTCTCCAGTTTTGAGATTTCTCAACTGAAATCCAGCGTAAGAACTGGTTTTCAAAACTTTCGTACCCAAGTTTTTTCTGTATTCTCAGGTAATGTTGACATAATTCTAACCTTGAAATTGCGTTTCATACTTGATCTTGAATTTAATTTTTTGAAATACAAATTTGCAGTAAGAATTAGCTAGCCGCAAAACATCCTGATTTTGTAGTCTTCCTTCAAAAAAGGCTTCTTTAGCACCTATTGATAATAATAGTTTGATCTTAAAATTCATGATACAAACTTTCAAGTTTAAAAAACGAAATGTAGCTCAAGGACAAATACAATCTCGTCGCAAAATCTCTCAGAACACTGTTCAAGAGTTTTCCAGTGTTCTCAGAACAGACATTGAGATAATCCTATTTGACCTTCATTTTTGCTTGAGCTGGAAATAACTTCTTTCAAAAATCAAGGTCAATTTGACAGCAGTAACCACATGACACTGAAACTCCTAGTTCTACAGTTGGATCTCTTTGTAGTAGGCTTCGTTCAATATTTTAGTTTCCCAGATGAAAATTTAAAATGGTTCAATCACAAGTAATATCATAAGGGCATCTGATTTTCAACTTAATCTTTGAAAAAACAAAAAAATATATAATAAAACATTCCACCAATGAAAATGTATCCAGAATTCTCAATAATTACTAAATAATTAACAACAAAAAAAAACAGACAATTACAAGAATAGTCCATATTTCTAGCATTTTGTATTCATTATCAGACCTCGACTTGTAGTTTTAGTTTAAGCCTCTTTTTAAAATTAAATAGTATGTATAGTTTTTTAATGTAACAGGCAGATCATTATACAGGGTGGCGCATCGAAAACGAAACAGACGCACTTACTGGCAGCTCATTTTTTTTTTTAAACGCTCAGACCCGTCGATTTTGTTTTCGAGGGGGACACAAGTTTGGCAAAAAAACACGTTAGCACGTGCAGCCCCCTGAGCGGGGATGACACCACCACCCAAAATCTTAAATGGAGGGGGGTCGAATGATACCTTATTTCAAAGGTCTTTCAATTCTCTTTATAGTGATATAAAATTAATTTACTTGAGTTCAGTAGTTTTGAAGATTTATTGATTTAAAGCTTAAATAAAACTAATACATCATCATTAGTGGAGATCAATACATTTGGCAGCAAAGTTATTTAAAAATGAAGAATGAACTGACCCGTTAGGCAAGTAAATGTTGAAAATGGCCACCATGACTCTCCATGCAATAATAAAGATTTTGCTCAAAACGTTGCCGCACATTTTGCAATATTTGAGGAGTAATTTGAAGAGAAATTGAGATAGCCTTTAAATAAATGTACCTATGTATTACTTAAGTCAACATAATAGACCTTTACGTATCTGAAAATAAAAAAGTCCTAAATTCAGTTCTCACGGATATAAACACGACAAACATTTAATATCACATATCTCGGCCAATATTGCACCAATTTTGTTAAAATTTTGTATTATAGCAAAGTCACCTAGCAGTGACGTAAAACTAGACGGACTAGGGCCGATTCGTTTTTTTTTGTTTTTTATCAAAATCAATACCTTTTAAGTTAAACATTGAAATGGTTGAATACTTTAAATAAGAATCCAATGAATGGTGCTAATTATGTAGCAGGATATAACATGTTTTTTTTCAAATTATAATAAATCCAGAGTTTGACTTTCAGGGCGCTGCACTTAGTAAAATACAAGGAAATGAAAAAACTGCATCCGACCCTGAAACTTTGCGTTCGCAAAAAATCGTTAATTCAACTTGAAGCATTATTTTTTTGAAAATGCTGATGAAATGGAGTTCGCAGCCCTTGAAATTTTGGCTTTTGCGCCAAAGATTGTTAAAAATAAGATATTTGAACGAATAAAAAAAATTTACAAAAAAACTAGAAGAGATGCAATCAATCTGTTTTGGTAATTAATTTCCACCAACCATTACCTTTCTTTGGACATAGTCAAACATTCAGCTTAAAAGGTGTTGATTAAGTTAAAAAGCAATAACTTGAAAAAGTCGAGTCCAGCCCAGGATTGTCCCTAGATAATTTTAATGTTTAAAACTGAATTTAGAAGTTTTTTTTAGGTTTAAAGAGATGAATACAGTGAAATACCAGTTACCTTGATAGCTCTACCCAAATCAGACTCAAATCCAATTTTGTCAAGCAAGAAGTTGAATCCTCTGTTTGCAGAGAACCACGTATAATAGGACACATCGTTACTGATGAATTTGATAACTTTCAGTGCTTTACTGTATGGTATTTTATTTGCTTTGGCCAAACTGAACAAGTCATCCACTATTTGAGCTCTGTTCAATTCCCCTATGTCATCGAATGAGTCACTTTTCAATGCCTTTTCAATTTCAGCCCACAAAGTGTCATCGTAGTTCACTCGATAAAATCCTGAAAAAGTGGAAAATTTCCCACTGTAAAAGAATAATTTTCATCCGCATCATAATGACCCTGATCATACAGAGTGTTCTTGGTTGGGACTTCCCCTCGTACAGCGTATAGTTTTTGTGAAGACCAGCAAATATTCCTAGTATCTTTCAGTTAATGAGCCGTATTCATAAAACAAAGGATATCCTTGTACTTGCGAATTTTGAAGTGCTGCTGAAATAGCACTAGATGTTGCAGTTCTTTTTTAGTTAACCTTTCGCTTCCTCAGTTTCGTATTTCTCTGTTGCTAATTTTCTTATACTAGCTGTTTGCTCACTGCGCTCGGTATATAGTTCACTTCCTTCTTCTTGAACACTACCAACCTGAATGGCACCTCTAATTTTCCCAATTGTAGGATTACATTCACCTTCCATACTTCCAACTTTCTTTCCCAATCTAACAATTTAATTGCTTTATTACCAGTTTTTTTTAGATCTGTTTTTTTTATTCAATCTTGATTTCATGTTGTTGATTTTTTTAATAAGCCTTTAGTATCTAATGGTTTACCGAATGTTGATTCGTGTTTTTCAACATCTTCTTCAAGGCATCGTCCTTTCTCATTTTTATTTTTGGAGTTTGTGACTTTTGCAAAATAATGGGAGCAATGGCAATTTCATCTACGATGAACTGCAGGTCGTTGCCATCATTTTCTATAGTTTCCTCATCACTTGAGGATGACATGCTTATTAATTTGATAAAAGAACTGTATCCAGTAAAAATACGGTACGGACTGTGTGAGCTCTGGAGTACAACTGTCAGTGATGCTGAGTGAACGAACTCCCTCGTCAACTACAAGCTGGAACAAGTCAGGACATGTCGCTCAAGATACAATTACCAATTCAACCTTTTACTTCTTCGCGAGTATAAGGTAATCATTATGAATATGACAACAAGGATATGCTTATACTTCTACCTTTTTCTCCGAAGCAAGACCTTATACTTTTACCTTATCCTTCAGAGGATATACTTCTCTTTTATGAATACGGCTCGTTGATACAACCACACTACTGAATCCCCAAGAAAACTGCGATATTTGGAAAAGCCAGATCGTTGGATGTTTCCATCCCGCGCCGTGTAGGTTTGCTTTATCTCATACAAAGACCGGTTGAACGAACTTCGAGGTGGATTCAATGGGAGACCTGAATAGCCCCGAATATTGCAAGTTGATGAAGAAATTGTGTTTTTGTATCGAACGACAATAACTTCGAGCAGCATTTGTGAGCAGCATTTGATAGAACGGTACTTATAATTTCAAATCAACTGTACTGGCCAACTAAAAATCGAGATAATGTATCTGAGAATCTTTTAGGTTAAGTCCATTTTTGTTAAAAATGAGTTTAACATGTTAAGCTTACGATAATATTGTGAGTTTTCAACTCATGTCAAGTCCCATACAGTACAATGCAAGAAATAACTCAGAAGTGCTTATTTGGACTTAAGCTAGTCTGGCTCTGAGGTACAGAGTTGTTTCTGCAAAGGACAGCCCCGACTTTCAGAACAGCATGTACTTACTATCCAAATAAATAATTGTAACCAGATATTTTTTATTTTATTTTTGGAATTGATGCTTTGGAACTACCTATCCAATTGTTAGATACCTGTTTGTTGGTTATTCAAAATTATCCAAGATGCTCCTTCAGGCAGCTGAATTTGTGCGTCTTTGTCTGGTTGCATCCATAGTTGAGTAGATGTCTTTTGGAACTTGTTTTCGTCCACGGACGTTGTGTAAGTTACAGGAACGTACCACTTTGTTGTTGTATCCGAGCCAGAGAATAAGAAACGCTCCTGCAATCAGTACTCTTAGCGTTACAATAAATTCCTGTTGACTATGATGAAGTACGAGGGATGTCCTTTAAGTTTTGCATACAGAAACATAGTAGGCCGCGCGGATCGAACGTCAGTACTGAATCTTAACCTCACTCTTTAGTAAACTTAAATTCAAAGATTCACAACAATACGTGCAGTAATCTCACTACAGTGAATTCTTAAGTGTCACCAAGTCATTAGAAAAATGGAACTCAACCGAGAACATTTTCGCGCCATAATTTGTTACAACTTTCAGAGACAACGAAGCGCCACATCAGTCGACAATTTCCTGTTGGTATGGTGAATTGAAACGTGGACGGGTGAGTCTTAGCGACGATCCCAGGGTGGGTGCACCAGAAACGGCAGTCACCCAGGAAGACGTCGATGCTGTGCGCAAACTCATCACTGAAGATAGACATGTGACATACCGCAAGATGGAGGCGTCCTTGAAGATCTCAAAGACTTCAATTCAAAAAATTTTACATGAAGAATTAGGACTAAGAAAATTAGTTTCTCGTCGTTAGATACCCCACCTGTTGACTGAAGAGCAGAAAGCAGCCAGGGTTAATTGGTGTCAAAAAACGCTTGACCGTTTCAATTCCGGAAACTCAAAAAATATGCACAGCATTGTTAGTGGTGATGAATCGTGGATTTACTGTTATGAACCAGAAAATAAACGACAGTCGGCTGTTTGGGTGTTCCAAGGTGAAGAAAAGCCAACAAAAGTCATCCGTTCTCGAAGTGTTTCGGAAAAGATGGTCGCGACATTTGAGTCAAAAGCGGGTCATATTGCAACAATTCCTCTTAATAAGCAAAGAACTGTTACTGCGGATTGCTATACCACCATTTGTTTGCCAAAAGTCATCACCGAGCTTCGAAAAATCAACCACGAAAGAAGTATCATCCTCCACCAAGACAATGCAAGCTCGCACACAGCCAGTATTTAACAGAAGAAAACGTGGAATTATTGGACCATCCTCCATATAGTCCCGATCTAAGTCCTAACGATTTCTTTACTTTCCCGAAAATTAAAAACAGGCTGCGTGGTCAAAGGTTCCAGTCACCAGAAGCAGTTGACGCATTCAAAAATGCCGTTTTGGATCTGCCAGCAAACGAGTGGAATAAGTGCTTTGAAAATTGGTTCGAGCGCTTGCAGATGTGTATTAATCTTCGTGGAGAATACTTCGAAAAACAATAAAGTCATTTAAAACTTCCTACCGTGTGGTTTTATTTCCATATGCAAAACTTAAAAGACATCCCTCGTATATTTTTCCTTATTAACACATTATCAGTTACTAACTCTAGGTAACTGATATCAATATGTATTTGTCAGAAAATAGTAGGGGATGGACATCATAATTATCAACAAAATAGGCTTTCAACTCCACCTTAAAGACATTAAAGCTTTTTATCCTTTTAATATCATTGGGCAATTTATTGAAGATTCTTGAGCCCAGCATTTTAGAAGACCCGCAGCCAAATTTTGTATTCCATAAAATTTACGTGTATGTATTGTCGTGTATTGATACCATGTATGTCGTTATTTAGACTAAATATTTCTTTGTTGAGAACGGCGTAGGTTGCCATTTCGTAAAGAAATAATCCAGGTAATGTAAGCATTTACCATTCCCCTCAACGGACGCGGACTCGAAAAGATGTTGCACCCACCACTGAAAGTATATATACTTTTTGTGAAGTCACTTGAAACACTGTGAAATACCGGGTGCGTTTTATATATCTATATTTAACACGCTCTGTTGCTGCAAAAATCGCCAAATTTCGCAGCAAATATCCCCCGTATAAGATCAAAGGCAGTTTCACCGGTCCACGTGGAGTAAAGCACGCCTATGCGTGGACATAGCCAATGCGAAAGCGTGTATTTCAGAGCTCCGAACAAGTGCAGGTGGCTACTGAAAATTGAAACAGTTTATTAGTTTGTGTGTTTTTGACTTTTGAATACTCAGTTTACTTGTTGATTTAATTGTTGTGTTGATTATTCTTGTGTGTCCTAAATATGGCTCTTTGGAGACCTTGGGAAAATGCTCCAAGCCACGAGGAGATGGTTGATGAACCTGTGCAGGCAGAATTCTTTCATAAAGTTTTAGAGGAACAGACCCAAAGAGTAATCCTAAATATGTATGATTGTCTGAAAAACGAAAATCCAGATTCCTCGCAAAATCAAATTTTAAACAGAATTTGTATCCTGACAAAAATCAGTCGGTCTTCCATTTATCGGGTTGTAAAAAGGGGAGATGTAGTTAACCATTCCTTCCACAGAAAGCGCATAGGGCAAAAATTAAAAAGAATAGGCGTGGGTTTTCAGGAAGATATTCGTCGTATAATATACGGATTTTATAAAGAAAATTTGGTGCCCACGTTGGAAACGATACGGGATAAATTAAAAGATTATCCTGAAGATTTTTATAATTACAAATGCTTAGACTCACTGCACTGTATTGTAAAACTGTGTGGTTTTCAATACAAAAAATTAGATAAAAGAATGGTGATTATGGAGTCGTCTCGAATCGTTGAATTGCCCCAAGAATTTTTGCACAAAGTTAAAATCTATAGAGAGCAGAAAAGAAATCTGATTTACCTGGATGAAACGTGGTATGATACCCATGATGTTGTGCAGTACGGCTGGGTTGACGACAGCAACAAGTGCATTTTAAATGCACCATGCAACCGTGGAAAACGAATCATTATTCTCCATGCTGGCAGTGAAAATGGATTTATACCTAATGCCTTGCTGTTATCTGCCAAAAATATCAAAGAATCATGAGCCGACTATCATGAGGACATGACCTCCGACTTATTTGAAAAGTGGATAGAGCAGCAGTTAATACCAAACATTTCCCCAAATTCAGTGATTATTATGGACAATGCGCCATACCATTCCCGACAGAAAAACAAAATTCCGAATACAGGCACAAAAAAAACAAGACATTATTGATTTTATGAAGGATAAGGGAATGGAAATACCACAAAAATCAACCAAAGCCATATTATTGGATCTTATTAAAAAACAAAAATTTGAAAAAGAGTATGTTGTTGACAATCTGCTTCAGCAAAATGGCCATGAAGTATTACGTCCAGCTCCCTATTACTGCATTTTTAACCCGATTGAGTTGGTCTGGGCTGCTTTAAAAAAAAATTAAGAAAACATAACCAGACCCCTCAATTAAGTGAATCGCTATTGGCCACAATAAGAGATCCAGTATCTCATATTGATGTCACAGACCTATGGAAGCAGTGTTCTAGGCATATTATTGAAAAAGAAAATGAATATTGTGTTTTGCCTCCTGTAAATCCCGTTGTAATTCCTCTACAAGATGACTCTAGCGACAGCTCCGAAGGCGAGGATGATATATAAATACCTATAATGTAAGTCTTTATATACCTTTTTATATACCTACCTGCTATGTAAATATTTGCCTATGTCAAACGTTGGAATTCTGTAATTTTTCCATTTCTTAACTTTCAGTCAACATAAATTAAACTCCCAATATAAGTATTTTTTATCCCAAATCAAAAAAATAAGAAGATAGTAAAATCCATTTATTGTGATATAAAAACATTATTATTATCGTTCTAAATAAATGACCGCACGCCTATGATACGTCATGAAATTACAAAGGAGGCGCCGACCAAAGGTTTTTATGCTATTTCAAGTGACTTCAGATAAAGTATACATAATATTCGTATAACTTTTTTTCTGTTTGCAATCTAATCTTCAAGACCCATTAGTCTTCATTTAGCTTGTTCTGAGTTCCCCTACTATAATGAAATGACAAAAATTCATATTTTCGAGCCGAAATTTATCGCAATTTCGCTACAAGCTGACGGTAGGCATCTTTAGTTCATCTTTCTTTTTTTGTTATTGAGCTTTGACATAAAATTCATTAGAACCGTTGGTTTGTATTGGGGCAATGTGAACTCACCTGCTTCAACTCTATCACATTATTGCTGGTCTTAGTAACAGTGATCAGAGGATATCCAGCTTTTGTTATCCAATTTTCCATGACATTTGCTAAGCTTTGTGGCAGATTTGACACTGTATTATCTACATTTATCGACAAGGCAGCCCACAGGTTTGAAGGTTCGACGTTACTGTACTGACTGAAACAAAAATACTGCTAAAGGATGGTGCCCCAGCACATTACGCATTACGTGTTCGACAATATTTAGATAAGACGTTTCCAGATCGATGGATTGGCAGAAGAGGTGCCATTGAATGGCCCCCAAGATCCCCAGATTTATCATATTTGGATTTCTTTATGTGGGTCATTTAAAAAGCAAAATCTATGCTACTCAGCCAACATCATTAGAAGACCTGCGACAAAGAATTATGACTGAGTGAGTGCCTTCAAATTACTCCTCAAATATTGCAAAATGTGCGGCAACGTTTTGACCAAAATCTTTATTCTTGCATGGAGAGTCATGATGGCCATTTTCAACATTTACTTGCCTAACGGGTCAGTTCATTCTTCATTTTTAAATCACTTTGCTGCCAAATGTATTGATCTCCACTAATGATGATGTATTAGTTTTATTTAATCTTTAAATGAATAAATCTTCAAAACTACTGAACTGAAGTACATTAATTTTATATCATTATAAAGGGAATTGAAAGACCTTTAAAATAAGGTATCACTCGACCCCCCTTTCCATTTAAGATTTTAGGGTTGGTGTCACCCCCGCCTAGGGGCTGCACGTGTTAACGTGACTTTTTGCCAAACTTGTGTCCCCCTCGAAAACAAAATCGACGGGTCTGAGCGTTTTTCCAAAAAAAAAATCTGAGCTGCCAGTAAATGCGTCTGTTTCTTTTTCGATGCGCCACCCTGTATATACAAAATGCAGTCACATGTTGCGCAACTTGTTCCCGGAACGTCTATCTGCAAACTTGTTGTATTAAAATATACCTTTAAAACAACAACAAAGTGAATGATGTTTTGTTATTGCCCTTAACTATATCGCATCACTTACTTGAGCATCAAATATTTTTGAATTCCTGATTTGAACTGCTCAGAACCCATGAAGTGTTCGACCATACGCAAAATACTGCCACCTAAAAAAGGAATATTCATGAAACGATAAAGTGGTTTTTGAAAACTTTTGCATTTGTTGAAAACTTTCACATTTTTGAGACCGTGGATACTTTCTGACTTGATGCGTGTTCGTACTTGGGCCGCCGCAGAGGCAAAGCCTGAATGCCGAGGTACCACGTTTGCTACAAAGAAGGTAGTCTTCGCGTCGATCCGACTTGTGAACTGACTTATGTTAGTAAAACTGGAAAAATATTATTTTCTAAAATTATCGATACCATGTCGGCTATTTCTGAGCGTCGGTGTTGCTGAATTCAGATCGGACCTTCCGCTGGTAATGGATATTACAGACCGAGATACTAAAGCAGACATGTGTGATATTGGGTATAACATGTGGGTAAATAATATCAACAACGTTACTGTATCGCGGAGAATATTTTATAGGAGGTTTGAACATACCTTTTCCATAACTAGTGTCTGCTTTAAACTTGGCGTCAATTTGAGCAGGAGTTATGACCTCTGATTGTAGAGCTTGGATACTTTGTAGATCATCTGTAGCTAAAGCTGACTGTAATGTAGCCACTACAAATTGTTTATCAAGTTCCCAATCAGGAAAAACCTGAAACATATTTGTAATTAATTCTGAAAGCACCGACAAATCAAGCGTGTTAGCGGCACCTCTCTAATGCCTGCCTTGTTTAGTATTCCACCTGAAGATACTCAATTAAAATGGCCATTCGAGAGAGCTCAAGGTTTTGCTTCTTGTGCAGTTGAGTAGTTGAGATACAGTTATCTGTGGGACAGGGCTAGGAATAATATTAAGCAGCTACAGTTTATAAAAGTTGGAATGAATGTAACGTACAAAGTCGTTGAATTCGTAGCCTGAATGGTGTTAAAGCTTGAGGTTACAAGTTCAACGAGCACTCCGGTAGCTTATTTCTTGCTGCTGTCCCAAAGATAATGTCTCCAACTGAACAAAGTTGGGGTTTTCCTTTACACGACCTGTAGATGTTGAGAAGATAAGCGGATTTTCTCAGTAGCATATTATACACCAATGTCTTAAGAAACCTGAACCAAACCGAAGCCGGTCCTGCCCTATCGCACGATCACGTCCACAGCGCCAGCGCCAGCGTACAGTTATACGACGTAACGACTACGATGTAAATACCGATTTTACGACAGACCCGTTCCTGGAATTTCAATTCAACTAAATGGCATAGAAAAAAGAAGACCCAATGTATTACAAAGATTCTTTAGGTATATGTTTATTTAGGTTATAGCAAAAAACGTTGTGAAGGGCTGATTTAATATGTCCATTATGCCTAGAGCTTAGCGAGTTTGATAGGAGGCGAGAAGTGGGTTTTTGACAAGTTCTTAAACAGTTGGATCTTTCTGAAATCTCTATCAATTACTTACCTAACCGTGAGAGGCATGTATAAATTTTTTTTGTGATAAATGAATTATTACTTGGTGTTCTTTTTCCTATCATTCAGTACGTTTTTTACAGTGTGTGTAATTTTTTATAAAATGATGTATAAATATTTCAAAAACTCGAGACGTTTCAAAAAGGGATTGAGGGTTCTAGCGCTATCTATGAGATAGTAGCAGAACCAAATAATCTAACTCTTTTCAAAGCAGATGTCTGAATTGATCTGTTTCTTCTACATCTATTATACACTGAAGACTTGAAACTTTTTTCTACAGTTCAATGTATTAGAGACTGCAAAAATATCCAATAAGATAGCTGATTACATAGACAAAAACAGCGTTTTCTGAACTTGGATAAATGTAATTATGTGGAATGCTTTCTAAGCCACTCACTCGTATTGAATTGAAAAAATCCAAAATTTTCTCATACACTTGCCTTCAAATGTGGCACTCCTAACACTGAGGGCAATTATGGTCCAAAAAGATTCAACATGTTATCACATAGAAGAAAAATATATGCTATTCGTTATACAAGGTGTCCGCAAAGTTGGGGTTTTCCTTTTCAAAAACAGCTACCCTTAAAATAACAAAGGTAATGTGTAGTGAAATGAGGGCGACCAAGTCAAAGAAAATAAAGGAAAAAGTACTCAATCTCCAGTTGACGAGAAGGGCTAAGTACGTCTCTGCCCGAAATCATACCGCTCCAACAGAAAATGAAATCAGCTGTTGCGCTACCGAGCAGACGCAGAAACCACATTGATTGTCTTACACTTAATGGCACATCTTCTAACAAGGAAGGCAAAATGTTGCGTAAAAAGTCTAGGTATTGCATCCCGTCCAATCTATTTGGGAGAATAAATGGTCCAATGAGCATACCGTTCACCATGCCAACCCAAACATTCACCGAAAATTTTTGTTGAAAATGTGCCCGACGGACAGCGTGCGGATTTTCTACTGACCAAACATGAGTGTTGTGAAAGCTATTCACCCCATTACGCGTGAACGTAGATTCGTCTGTCACCAATATGCACTTCAAAAAGTCCGTATTATTGTCATGTTGATGCAACAACCACTCACAAAACCGCACTCTTGCTGGAAAATCGTCAGGTTGAAGGGCTTGTACACGTTGGACGTGAAACGGATACAGCCCCTCTTCACGCAGCGTATGCCACACTTTAGTTTTTGATACTTGCACTTCTCTAGCCACGTCTCTAGTGCTTGTTGAGGGATTCTCGTCTACGCGATTACCTCTACACGCGTGACCGTAACCGTCGGTTGAAGGTTGCATACTGACCTGACACACTGACCCCGACCCAGTTCTGTCGTCGGGTTGAGACAGTGACCTTGTACCAGTCGGTGATGTCGCGGCTACAGGACGGTGTTCAGATATTTTTGATGTTGCAGAGCCCTTTATCTCGGTTCCCTTAAGACATTGATGTATATGGTACTAAGAAAAATTGCTTATGTTTTCAAGATCTACACGTCGCGTCGTGTAAAGGAAAACCCCAACTTTGCGGACACCCTGTATATATAAATTAATTAATAATCTGCTTTCCCTAGTTCAGTTTAAAGTTCCAGATAGGAGTTATCATCACTATAAGATATTTGAGTCACCATATTGTCGAATAATTCTCCATTAAAAGCACAAAGATCCTACAGTCAGGTTCGTGAAGAGGACTTGTTTTGTGATAAGATCACTATATTTAAGGGTAAAGTAAAGGCGAAGTTTTTATATGAAAAACACATCGTATTAAGATCCTTTAATTTTGTACACATTACTCATATTTTATTGTAACGGATGTGTGTTGACTTTGGCTGTGAACACCCCAAATTGTAATAGATAAACAAATAAATACTGTCTCATAGATAGTATAGTATCTCTCACATCCCTTTTTGGATGCCGAATACAGTCTCGTATATGATTAGTTATCTTCAGGCAGAATAGGTTAATCAATAGTTTTACACTAAGCAGGTACCACTACAGATACTAAAATTTCACATTTCAATCAGTCATTGCATCCTTTATCAACAGCCAAAATACGTATCGGTAATAGTTTTATACTTAAACCTCTGAATTAACAGACAGGCTATATTAGTAGCATACAGAAAGTGATAATAATTACCTCGTTAGTTATAAAAGTTTCGAAATATGTAGCGAATCCTTCATTGAGAAAAGTCACTGAATACCAAGCCATTGTGACCAAGTTTCCAAACCAGGAGTGGGAGAGTTCGTGTGTTATTGTACATGTTGCAGACTGTTTAGTAGTAACCGTGTCTTCTGAAGGATCGAACAGAAACTGGGCCTCTCTAGATCAATAGAAAACATTGATTTTGATTCTGGTTAAGAACGGCTATGTAATGAAAAAGAACACCAAAATACCAACTTAGAACTATATAGATAGTTCCTAGTATGCAGATACTTCATGCCGCGTTTGTTCGCTATGAGCGCTGGGGCGTCACCAGAAGCATCATCTATGAAAGAATGACTAAATGTCACGCTCAATGACCATGCTTGGTTGGTGGCACAATGTCTGTAGAGTGTATCTCTGCGAACTTATGACAGAAAGAAGATTGGCTGAGAGATCGCATCTGGATAACTGTGAGTATTGGTCTGCATTCGATTCAGACGAATTTTGGCAGTATTATTCGTTGTATTAAGAAGCTTATTTAGCCCTAAATAGGTTAAATTATTAGGTCCAATGGCGACCCGGGAGCACCTTAGCAAATATTATTGGTAAAAAAATTGACGCAACTGCCTTTTTTGCTAATTTAATATACATTGTAACTTGTAATGTCACGTATTCCTGTTAAGGGGTGATAGATTAGGTCAAAAGCAACCGATTTTGTCCTATCATGAAATACAAACAAACTGCATGCTTGATTTGAGTTTTTGTTATCGTCGCATAGCAGACATTCCAGTAGTTCATATAAGTAATCAAATGTTTGAATAGCCTACAAAACGTTTAAAATTACGCTTTTTAAACGTATCATTTTCTTTTTTTTTACTAACTTATTCGATAAAAAAATGCAATTTTCTGTAAAAAATCTCCTAGTAATGAATGTGCAAATTATGTAATAATATCTCTATCTAACAAGCTTTCATTTTGAGTTATTAAGCGTTCAATTATCTGAAGTACATGCAGAGAAACAACCATGACACCCTCAGAGGCTGGATGTTTAAGGAAGTTGTATTACCTGTTTGAACAAGTCGTTACTCTCCTCAAAGGACTCGCATGCCATGATTGTTTTTATGCGAGCGAGAAGAGCTGACTTAGTGGAGGAGTGAGAGAGAGAGAGCTTTTATTATTCATCATTGTAGTTACGCCATCGCCGCACGCCGAGTGAGAATTAGGTTTAGTTTATCATCATGGCAGACGCAGAAGATCGCCAGGACCCTCGCCATAGCGAGCACGGGCAAAACTTTTACAAAATGAAGAATACACAGACATAATGTTCTGTTATGGACTTTGTAACGGCGATTCTGCAGCTGCCCGCCGTGAATATCGGCAACGTTTCCCGAATCGCCGAGCACCTCATGTTACTGTGTTTGGAGAGGAAATCCTTCGTGTGTTTCAGGAAGACCCTACTACGTCAGTTGGGTATATCCACAATACAAAGTATGGTTTACTGTGCATACTGCAAGATTATACCCTTATAACTACCCGCCTGTGCATGTGATGAAGACGATTAGATTTCTGCAGGTACATGTTACATGAGATAAAAATTCTGTTGTTCCGATGAATCGAAGTTTGATAAGGACGGGATCACTAACTACCATAATGCTCATTACTGGGCTGATAAAGAAGCTTTAAACCCCCGAAAAATAAGACCGACGGGGTCTCAGAAGCCGGTTTTCAGTCAATGTGTGGATGGGCATCATTGATGGATATTCATTGGACCTCATTTTTCTGCCCGCAATTTAAATCGAGAAGTGTATAAATAGTTCTTGAAAAATCACTTGTTTCCATTAATGGAAGACGTCCCATTGGCGACTAGACAAAATATGCGGTTAGTTAGTAGATTAGTATGGGCGTATTTAGACTCTAAATTTAGAATCAATGGATTGGCAGAGGAGGGCCCATTGCCTGGCCAGCAAGAAGCCCAGATCTCACACCGATGGATTACTATGTGTGGGGACATATGAAAAGGCCTGATGTACGATGTTTCGCCCGTAACCAACGCGCGATGAATTAATTACAAGGATAATCATTGCAGCTGACCAAATAAAAAGCCGCTTAAACAACTAGAGTTGCCAAAAGTGATTACGTAAGAGAATGCGGGCGTGTATTCGTAACAGGGGGATTACAATTTGAGCAGAATCTGTAAAATACTAAAGAAAATGTAATTAAACAAAACTGTAATTAAAATAAAAGCCTTTTATTTATCCTACGTAATTATCGTTCGTACAACTTTACTCATCTTTTTTTAATTTTATGTCTTTGTACTTGAGTTAGTTGTAACTTTTGTACCTCAAATGAAAGCTTGTTAGATAGATATATTATTTACATAATTTGCACATTTCATTACTAGGATATTTTTTACAGAAAATTGCATTTTTTATCGAATATGTTAGTAATAAAATAAGAAAATCATACATTTCAAAAGCGTAATTTTAAAACTTTTGTAAGTTTTCAACATTTTATTACTTATTGTGAACTATTGGAATGTCCACAATGCGACGATAACAAAAAATTCAAAATCAAACATGTAGTTTTTTTGTATTTCAAATTTAACCTTCTGAAATCGGAATAAAAAATAAAAAAAATAAAATTCAAATAACTCAAAAACGGTTAACTTCTGGATAGGACAATATATGACAAAATCGGTTGCTTTTGACCTAATCTGTCCCTCCTTAACAGGAATTCGTGACATTAGTAGTAGTGGACATGTATGATGTTTGATTAAGCATCTAAAAATACAACTTCTTGTTTTCCTGTGTGTTTTTGTATCCTACTTCGTTATCGAGCAAAAAACGTTTTATTGTAAGTCACTGGACAAAAATTCCTTAATTAATTTTTGCTAAAAAGAATTGACAAGGACCCTGGATAACAAAAAATCGTTTCTGCATGGAGGTTTTGACATTTTCGCGTCAGTACTATCCCAATCATGTCCATCAACAAGAACAAACTAATAAGCCAATTTGAACAGTGACATGCAATAAACGATTTTTTTTAACGTTAACGTAGTGAGATACCGAAAAATACAAAAGACAACGAAGCTGTATTGTTTAGATTGCTTAATAAAACAATAAATATTAAAGTGACAAAAAGGTAGTGGCGTACATTTTTTGCCGATAATATTCACTAAGGTGCTCCTTGAGGTGGCACGGGCGTAATAATTTTAATATCCTTAGAGCTAAACAAACATTATTACAAAGTTCACACAATCGAGTGAATATTTTTTAATACATAATAAAAAAAGTAATTACCCTGTATTCTAAAAACTGCATTTCCGCCAAGCTTATAAAACTTTTATCATAATTTTTAACAAGGAATCACCCACTCTGAAATATCTCCGTCTATTTTTCGAACATCCCGTATACTTGTATCTAGGATGTAGTATCGAAAAAAAATCGCACAAACGAGGTAAGCTTGATGTTTTGATGACATATATCAAAACACTGTCAAAATCTTCAGCCGCCTAACGCTACCGCTGACCCTCAAACCGTTCTCGGAGCATCTTTTTCACTTATTGTCGAACACTCTGTATGAAGTCAATACATCGCAGTTCATACTCGTACCATGTCGTCTCACAGAGTTCAATGTGAATGAAATGTGAAACTTTGTACCTGCGTCGATCCTAATGTTCACCTTACCTCGTTGACCGCTTTGTGCTCAAAATATCTAGCAAAACCTTCGTTAAGGAATACTTCCGACCACCAAGCCAAGGTGACCAAATTTCCGAACCACGAGTGAGCAAGTTCGTGCGCTATAACCCTAGCTACAGTTTGCTTATCGATAGATTGGTCCTCTTTGGGGTCGTAGAGGAACATAGCTTCTCTGGAAGAAATTCGAACAGATCACAAACCAGCGTCTTCTCACACCAATGCGCGCAAATTTCACTTTTGTGGTTCAATTCAGTGCGTCACTACCAACGAATTTGAATGGATTAGAAAGATCCATGGGTATGATCCATACTTTCTGAAAGGTGTAAGTAACATCATAGATGAAGCCTATTTCTTGCAAATAAATCTAGCGACCAATCGCATTGTACGAAATTCTTAGGAATCTATATCTGAATTTCGAAGAACATATTATTCATACCATGGTTCCTTAATATATTTAACTACATTGCATTTGTATATGATAAGCAACTATTTAGAAGTATTTTATATAAAAAATGAACAAAGTATAACCTTATTTGTACATGCAGCGAAGACCACAGATGAAAAAGTTCGTTTTTTTAAAATTTAAGAAAAAATTCAATATCTCAATAACGGTGTCAGTTTTATATAGGTAAGTTTTTGTTATTTGGGAGGTCAGTTCAAATCCTACCTTCTCCTTAAGTTTGTCGTGGTACTTATTGGGCACCCTGTATATGCAATAAATTGTCTTCAGCTTGTTTCATCGTCTCGTCTGCCTAAGATTTGATTGATTGATGAAAAATAAAGTGCGTCATAATGTAATGCTCACGAATGCGGGCATTCTTCAATTCTTACCTGTACGTAATCAGTCCCCAGTTTTCCATAGCGCCCGATCTGAAATCCGGAATGGCGACTTGATCCACTTTCTTCATAGAACTAGTATATGGAATACCAGTATAGGCGTTCAAGCTGCTCAAAAGTTTTGGTGATACTTCAACGGCCCACCTTCTGGTGTCTTCTTTCTGGGCCCTAGAGCAAACTTTGTTCACGGAGTTGACTTCTGGCATGTTCCATGCTGAACAAGTGAACTCGGATATCACGAATGCTATCAGGTACGTTGACATTTTTGGGGTTGTTTCAAACTGGTAGTGGGTAGTCCTAGAAAAATGGACTGGTTGACTTACTCGGACCTTGATGCTACTCACCAAAATACAGGATGGCCAATGTACATTTTACTGATTTGTTCCTACCACGACTTTAAAATGAATTCGAGTCCATTCTTCCTGATATTTTATTGAAATCAGTTCGTAACGGATTATCTTTAGCACAAGTTAGAACTTCCGAGAAAAGGTTAGCTACGAAAATGTATTAAACGATCTTCCTTCTCCCGCTGACCAATCCCACGTGAATGACGGAATTGGCCTTCACTGTACTCAGCCCACAGCAGTGCCAAAGAGGTTGCCGATTATGACATACGACCACCGACGACGACGCTTGTCCATCGGGGGACCACCGTTTTTTTTTGTTTTTGACCTTTTCCGAACGGTACTTCTCAAATTATAGGCGATTATAGGATAGCGGAGAGACCGACCGACGAAAATATTGGCAACTACACCAGTAGGCATTGGAATTATTAAAAGTGGTAACATACAAAAACCTGTGTAAGCCGAGCCAACTTGGGCTCTCTTGATTCATCTTTAATGTCAAAATATCGGTCAAATTCAAGGTTACTGTCAGATGGTCAAGTAGAATTTCTTTTCGAAAGATTATTTTATCTACTAGATCAGTGGTCGCCAAACCGTCGATCGCGAGCTACCACAACATATTTTAAAAAAGTGTAAACATCATAGAAGCTTCCGTAAACTTTGTAAATTCTCATAATAAATACAAGCAGCGGCAACACTGCGGTGAGCGATCTGTTCGAGAACGATCTCGACTACTTTGAGCGGAATAAATACGCAAGGCGCGGCGACAATGCGCTCAGTTTAAAACTAACGACACAAAGTCCAGCGGTTGGGCTAGAGTTGGTCTGCAATTGAAAACATTATGAGCAGTTGTAAGAAGATGAGGACATACCATTTAAAGGTAAAAATGTATGTTTGTTATGTAATACACCTGCTTCCGCTGCTAAAAAGGGAATATCAAGATTCACTATAAAACTGTAGATTCGAATTTTGAAAAAGCATTCCCATTACGTTCTGCAACCAGAACGGAAAAACTGAAACAATTAAAAATCAGTTAATTGGATAACAGACAATGTTTTTAAAAACAATCGACAACAGTAAGGCTGCAACTGAAAAATCATACCAGATAACTACACAAAAGCAGAAACCTTATGAAGACGGGGAAATCATAAAACAGGCGTTTTTAGAACCTGCAGATTCATTATTTGCCAACTTTAGAAACGAAGACGAGATAGTGTCTGCTATAAAGTCTATGCAACTTGATGAGACGAGTAGAAGTAATGAGCAATTACTTTGAAGTTGAGTCATTAATTTTCAGATAATGATTGTAGAAGGAAGATAAACCAAAATATGTGTGTAAAAATAAAAAAAAATAAGAAAAAATGTTACCTTGTTTTATAAAGTATCCTCCCGACAAGTATTTCAGTGGGGACCTGTATTTGATCGCGCGGTCTTGAAGCACCGGCTCGTGTGAGGTCACCTGATTCACGAGCCCTTTGTACTACATTAACAAAGGCACGAGGGGGTTGCACTCGATTGGGAAACCGATCCGCATAAATCCGTGATGCCGCGGCAGCATTTTGTAAAAACTCCCCCCCCCTCGTAAATAAGAATCATGTCCACAAGTTCAGCATTTTCGTAAACATGTGCCATTTTTTAGGTACTCAAACTTCTAAAGGGCTATAACTTTGTTACTTTAACTTTACCACAAAAATGTTAAAGGAAAAAAACGTTTCTTTTGATCAGATCTACTCACTGTTAAAATAAATGACTCAACTTCGAAGTCTAGTCTTACAGTAAAGAAATGACTAGCCAGGCAAAATCCTAAGTTTGTGAACCGTTAGAAAAATTATTTAACTTCATTTCACGTTAGAACTTGACCATGACCTTCAAAGGTCAAGTTTCATAAAGGTCAAAGACTCATCAG